AATGTGATGTGAATCAAATGTAAGGTGATGATGGTATAGAATGATATGGAATTATATGGAATATAATGTTGGTGGGCAGCAGCAATTTGGAGGTCCTCCATTTTTGTGTTGTCAAGAGACATTTCTATGACACGACTATATACTGCTGGGTATCTGGTATCTTTCCGAGCCTGCCGATACCATACTGTACATGTCTGCTTACGCATTTTTTATTTATTAAAGTCCAAATCTGGAAAAGAAAATATATATATATTATATCAATATTTATTTTGAAAAAGATTTTTTTTTAACAGTCCTAGACATGACTTGCCTTATCTCCTCCAGGCAGGATGTGAGGGCAGAGGGGGCAGTGGAGCTGAGAATCAGCAGCATAGTTAGAGTAGGACACTCTGTGCCTGCCAATGGTGTTTAACCTATGCCTTATCCAAACCAAGATTAAGTTGAGTTATTTTGACAAGTAAACAGTTTTGATAGCTCAGAGGTAAAATCCACACATCTTAAGCTATTTGTTTCCTCTCAGCAACATTCACTAACGTGTCCCAACAGATTTTGAAATCATACCATAGAACAAGTCTGGTTGTATTGTTTTATTGTTTTTTAAAGAACAACCCACCTGTGGCTGTCTTTTGTCCTCTCTGGGTAAAGCATCTTCTTAAAGCTTAAGTCTATAGTTGCCTTTGAAGTCACTGGGGCAGACCCAAGCCACTGCGCCAAACCCCCTGGGTTATTTATCCATCTAAAGACCGGTATTACTTGACAACAATAGAAGGGGAAAACCTAAAGAAAAAAGAAGATCAGGAAAAAGTCAAACAAATTAGGAACTTGAAAATGATTAGAAACCATTCTTTGTATACAATGGCAGGGACAGATTTGCATGCATGCCCACCTGTAGTTTTTATTTAAGACTCAACTCTGAAAGAAGAGGAACAGTGAGTTAGGGCACAGATCTTTATATGCTGGAATCAGTCATGTATGCTATCTAATTGTCCTTCCTCAAACCCATGTACCTGTTTGTAAACTGAATTTGAATATTATTTCTGCGTCATGTTTAAATACTAAGCTGGCACAGTTTCTCTGTGGCATGTGAAGCCGTGGATTAGTGCAGAAGAGCGTTGAATTACTGGAACCCTGCTGAGATGTCAAAGGGCCATGCAGGCTGCTTTCACTCTCAGCCCAAGGATCAGAGCCAGGGGTAGCCCTCCTCGTTCAAAAGATGACCGCATACGTCTTCTGTGTGTGCATTGCCACTACTGACATGCTCAGCACTTGGCAGGATCCATGATATGTTTGCAGGACCACACATTAAGAACACTTACTTTTCAAGAGTGCGCATGCAGCCAGAAAAGCAAATGTTCCTGACTTTAGGCTTGGTAAAGACAAGCATCCAAACTTAAGCCATTTAAGCGAAGTATCTCTATATAAATATAGTGCAAGAAATGTGTATTCAGCATAATAAATGTTTCAACAAAAGCTAACCTGGGAAAACTGAACCTCTGCCAATGTCCAAGACGTTCAACCTTTATTAAAATGAAACTTCTCCAGATTTTGGGTTTCTATACTGATAACATTGAGTCAATGTGTCCTACCCAGTTAACTTAACATCCAGTGAATGCCTTTGCTTTGCGAGGTTCATGGCCCTCTGCCAGAGATCCCAGAATAAACCCAGCTAACAAGAACGTCTTCAGGCAGGGGAGATGCCAATGCTTTTCCTTCTCATGCTGCTGCGAGCGGCTGGACAGATCTGTTGGGATTGAAGCCAACTTTCTTTTCCTTTTGGAGAAAATATGAGAGGGCAACCTCCTGCAATCAGCCAGTGTCAGTGAGCACTCAAGTGCAACACGGTGGGGACAGGCCACTCCAGACGAGTCCAGAGGCATCAGATCAGTTCTGCAGGCAAACGTCCTGATGAGATCTGATTCAAAGTGAAAAAATAAGTACGAGAAGACAAACAGCTGCAGCAAATACGGCAGTGATGTGAAACAGACCAAAGGGAATAAATGAGGACTCTATAAACAATGCAACATTTGCACTAGTATCCCATATTGAGTACTAGGGTTTTTTCTTCTTTTCATCACTTAACTTTCACACATGTATAATTATATTCTCTTGCAGTGTATTCCCAGTCTGTAATATTCCCAAGATATTGCAAAGTTGCAAGCACCTGCTGCCCTCTACATGCACATAAGGCTATTACACCTGTTGTATAACGGTTCTCAAACTCAGCCAAAGAAAGTTAAGAAACTATTTCACCTGACCATGTCCTACCATACTTATATATTTGGATTTCTGAGTACCACCATATCTACTCCAAGCCTAAGACAGGACTTCTATGGGTCTAAATTAGGGCTTGAGTCCTAATTTAGGAGAATTGCTTTTATGGTAGCATTCAATATGGATGATCATACAGTATCTACTTTGGATCATATGGATCCAAAGTAGATGAAAATGCACTATGAACGGGTCAACACCAGTCCAGTTCATGTACCACAGCTTGAGAATGGTTACCTGTCATTACAATGATCTGTATAATGTACTAAAGGGGAAATTCTGCATAGTGCCTGTGGGAATTGCTTTCTAAGGTGAACATGGTTTGGGTACTACTTTTCTACGTTAATACCAGTAAAGCAAATCAAAAGTGAGGAGAAAAACACTGAAGCACTTTGCACTTGAGTGAGTGCCCATACTCCCCACTGCGCAGTCTGTCCACACAAGTGGCTCCTCTCATTCATTTCACCCATTTGGATTCCAACATGGAAACCTCTGATGAGTGCCTGAACTTGGCCACATGATTAGACTGCTAATTAATCACACTGATTGTACAGAGCCACATTTGTCTTTAACTTTAAGTAAAAATAATGTTTATTCTGAACTTTAAACCTTGTCAATTTATTATGTACAAAATAGAAAATAATCACTTTTAGTTTGTTGCTCCATCCGAAACATGAAATAATGATCAGTCCCCCTGGCCTCTGTTTAGATCTATATCAGGCAGCCGCACCATGTTTATCCAGACTTTTCAGAAACCAAACTCACAACCTCCTCCTGCACCAGAGCTCACACTTGATGATTTAAGCCTCTCTGGCATCTTTCCATCTTAACCTGTGTTCCTGAATAGCAGGAGACGTCCCTCTGCTCACTATAAAACTCTTTGTCAATGTTTAGTTTTTTCTAACAACTCCCAATAGCCCTAAATTCCTTCAACAGCACTGGGAAAACAAAATAAATCGTATACTATTGTAACTTGTCTCCATTTCCATTGCTGGCTCACAGGCAGGTTTTGTTCAAGACTTTATAGTACACTAAATATCTAAATCTCTATTCTGGAGACAATTATACACTTCAAAGGCCCCTCTGCTCACAGGTGCAGGGACTGTTCCTCGTGAACACAATCACAAACAATGACGCCAGCACAGACCTGAGGAGGCTTCTTGTGGTTTCTAGTCCTCATCAAACATGAAGCCCCTTTGATGCTGCCTCGGGCACCAGGCCATATCTTTGCACAACAAATATTACACCTATCTAGTCAGCACCTCAGGGATGGGCCCAGATGTGGCCGGCCCCACACAAGCCTGAACCACATGTGTCACAGTCTGTGCATTAAATTACATTAAAGACACTCATTCAATTAGGCCATCACTTCTAATCAGAAAGAATTAGGTTAACAAAAAACAATTAGGCAAACTCTGACATATTCTCAGGATAATGTCTAAGATACATCTTTATGAATGTATGGAAAACATACAGACACAAATGAGTCACCTGCCTGCATTGAAAATAACAGATATTTTGTATTATTATTGCACTGACAACGCTGAATGTTCTTATTCACAACTTAAGACACCTTTATGGGAAAAGAATAAGAACATACAGTAGTAGATTTATGTTGACAGAGAAGATGTCGAACTTAGTTAGTTTTTGTTCCATGTGGATTATCACAGGAATTACAGAGACTTTTGACATTTACAAGGCTAAACTACAGGCTCTTTGGAGTGTTGTGATGTCACATGAACACAGCCTATTACTTCCTTCCTTGACCTTTTAGGGGGACAATTTAGACACAGTGGGGGCTTTTGACTGTTATCCCTTAATGAATGTTTATTTGTATTGCACAACTCATGGACGAAGATATACTCCTCCAGTTATGCAGAGCTTAACAGAACTGTTTCCAGCCTGGATTTGAGTAGAAGTGAAATTCTGAGAGCGAAGTGACTCAAAAGTATAACAATATCATGGTAAAAAGTTCTATTTCTAAAGTTCTATTTCGGCTAAACATGTAGCCTAGGTGTGAGGTAAAGCCAATGTGTTCATTACAATAGATCCATGGTTCATTACTAGCAAGTTATTGTAACTTACCTGTAAAGGAACCAGGGCCCACACACTCGAAGAAATAGTAATACCCTATCCATTTATTATTATAGAGCCATGGTTGACTTGCACTGAAGACTTCTTACAACAAATTAGAATCTGAAGGCCAGCCGAACTTTCTCCCGCTGCAGTGCATCGCCACCTTGTGGCGAGTAAAAGTAAATGCACATAAAATGGATAGTGAGTGGGGGTATTGTTTTAGTACTAGTTTGTTAAAGCATGATATTATGCTAAATTTTACACATCAATTGATTTTGTTTTTACCTTATGCTTCGGAAGTCTGTTCATATCACTTACACAATGTATAGTTATTGTTTTAACGCTATAGTATTGATGAACATTAGCTATGTAGCATGTTTGCACATTTGTATGTATGGATTCTATGATACAGTTTTATCAGTTTCTTTGTTTATTTTAATATTTTGTCTTGAGTGTAAATGTTTTAAAGTCACCTCGCTGACTATGGCTACTTGAATCTGGCAACCCCACTTGAACGCGCTGCGCGCTCCCGTTGTGTGGCAGCGAGAGCGTCAGTAAAGTTTGCGCTCATCTCATGTCATCTCAGGAAGTCATCAAAGTATTAGCTCGTTTCATTACACCATATTTTTAATGCTTTACACACAGACCCGGCGGTTATGGCAGCACCTGAACTGTACTCCAAGGTAAACCAGATTATTGTCTTAACTTTTGTGGCTTTCTTTTGCATTATGTTACAATGTAGCGAACTGTGTTTTATTTTTATTTATTTATTTGCCCTTTTTGTTCACTTTTTTGAAATTATGACGTGTAGTTTACTGTTATGGTGTTTACTTTTAGACCATTCAAAGTATTAGTCACTATATTGACTTAAGATACATTTTATTTCTATGCCTTTTTTATGCCATCCCAAAATCCATGTCCAGCGATATTGCACGCATATGACAGCCGTGTGACTGCCAAGCGTTACTTTTGAACTGGTCCCCACTGATCTGTGCCATGATTGATCTGCTGTGGTTGACCAGCTCTGCCTCACATCTGCCCCTCTGTGTACTGTACAGGGTGCCCGTGTCTGGCTGCCTGATGCTGCAGAAGTGTGGAAGTCGGCGGAGGTTCTGAAGGACTACACCCCTGGCGACAAAACACTCTCCCTGCAGCTGGAAGATGGCACAGTAAATACACAGGCACAAATGAATGTCATGCACATACTTCATTCGCAATGGTGTCCACTACAGCGCTGTCATGCAACGGCCTGCTAAAGAAGATTCCTTGTTAAGATGAATGCACATTGCTTCAACCATAGACTGTATACTAGGATTTACAGTGTATGGCTTTAACCCTCTTTTTTATTCTATTACAAACAAGTGTGCTCCAAAGAGTGAATAGTCCACATAAAGGGGGACCACATTTGTTCTGTGGGTTGTTGCTGCCTGTAAGAGTTGTCAAGTTTGGGCATGTAGTTCAGGTATGGAGAAAACCAACCCTCTGGAGAGCAGTGTTTTTCATAAGGTATTTCAAATGGGATTTCTCTATAATTTCGATTTACTATTAAATTATTTTTTGTAATATATGTATGTTTGGAAAGTTTGGTTGTTATTCCACATAGCACTAAGCATTACAATCAATAAGCATAAGACTTAAGTTTATTATGCAACAGTACTCCACCATCCGTCACTCATGTACAGTATTTTGTCTGTCAAGGCATGTTTGTTTCTTGTATTATAGTTGACGAGATTTGGAATTGAAATAGTAGTTGGATCACAGGTGACTGCCTCTAAATAAAGTGGATTTTTGCAGTTGTTGGAGCAGAAACTTGAGCCAGGAGGGGGGGATTTGCCGCATCTCCGAAATCCCAACATCCTGGTGGGAGAAAACGACCTGACCTCTCTGAGCTACCTCCATGAGCCGGCCGTCCTCCACAATCTGAAAGTGCGCTTTATGGACTCCAAGACAATCTACACGTACTGCGGTAACGCGTCTCATTCTGACTCACACTATCGCAGTCACATTAGACTTTGGAGCAGGGCTTAGCGTTCACACTGACATAATCTCATATTGATAATGTCTGTGCTCTTAAAGGCTATACCTGTGTGTGTGTATGTGTGTGTGTGTGTGTAGTTTGTGTTAGCCCCAAGCCAACACTGGACAAAGTGATACAATATGGGATAATAAATGCTTTAATCATTGTTTTAAATTTTGATTTGATTCTGGCTGTCTAACAAGATTTTCCAATGGGACAAGCCCATCCATCCATCCATTTTCTACCCTTTAATCCATTTCTGGGTCAGGGGGGTGGCAATCAGAGATGCCACCCAAGTCTCATAGCACCAGCCCCTCACTGACCCTCTGCAGGTGGTGAGTCCACAGGAGGACGGCTGCTCTCTAAGTGTGAGCATAGCCTTGATCTTTCAGTGGGGGCTTTGGGCAAAGTGGGGTTAAGTGTCTTGCCCAAGGACACAACGACAGCAGTCATCAGTGGGAGTTGGTGGAGAAGGTGTCGAGGTGGGAACAAGCCATTTAGTCTTATTTTAATAAGTGTTGCATTTTTTTTTTCTCATTCCAAGGGAGACATTTCTTCTGTCTTTTTAAAACAAGATATGTTGCTTGTCTCAATGGCAATATTTCACACGTTTTTTTCATGACTTTTTGCAGTGTAGGTAGGGAAGGACATTTAAGTTTAGGAGATCCTTTATTTGTGCCACAGTGGGGAATTTTCAGTGTTGTATCACCAGTTAACAGTAACGTCATTCATTCATTCAAACATAACTAAACACTTCTCATAATTTGATTTTTTTTTTTCAGGTATTGTTCTGGTTGCAATCAATCCCTACGAGAGTGTCCCCATCTATGAAGCTGACATCATTCATGCATACAGTGGACAGAACATGGGGGACATGGACCCTCACATCTTTGCAGTAGCAGAGGAGGCATACAAGCAAATGGCCAGGTATCTTATTTTGATGTTTTAACTTTAAACCAGCAGAACATCTATTTACGAATAAAATACATGTACATTTTTAGGAAGGGTATTGGAATTACAGAGCTATGTCACTCATTTGTCTGATTCTTATTTCCTAGAGATGAAAGGAACCAGTCCATCATAGTAAGCGGGGAGTCTGGAGCAGGAAAAACCGTCTCTGCTAAATATGCTATGCGCTACTTTGCCACAGTCAGCTCCTCGTCCGGAGAAGCAACAGTTGAGGAAAGAGTCCTGGCATCCAACCCCATCATGGAGGTACAGTTATGAGATTATATTCAGAAAAATCTACACTACAAAAAATTATATGAAATGAGTAAATGAATGAAATGCTTAAATAAAGTGTTTTTAATCTTAATTTGAGTACATTGTGACTGTTTTATAACAATATTTACCAATGGGACAAGCCATCTAGAACTGTTGCTTTATTTTTTCATTCTAAGGGAGTCATTTCTTGTATCTTTTCAAAACGAGATCATTTTGATTGTTCCATTAGCAAAATTGGCTAATTTTGACTTTTTTTATTTTTCCACTTTTTGCAGTGTACAGCACTTGCTTGACTATGAGCCATTACATCTGCAAGTTCTTTTAACTCTGCGGCCAATGTTTTTTTTTTTTTTTTTTGGATTTCGACACAGCTTTATCAGAGTGGATGATTTAGTACAAGATAAGATACTGTAAGCCTTTATTCATCCCTCATTGGGGAGATTTCAACAATACATTCCTGCTTCCCGGTGTGTTTATGTGAACATAAGATAAACAAGATGAGGAATAACACAGGATGGACTTATTATTTTGACTCCATCAAGTTTTAGTAGTAAGTTTTAAGTGTTACATTACAACAGGAAAACTGGCGGCTCAAGTGCAACCTATATATGGACAAAATGTACTTTATTTTCAATTTTAGCTGGTGCTGTTTATATACTGGTGCGCTTAATAGTCCAGCAAGTATTGTAACATCATTAATCTTGTGATTTTTTTTTTGTAATCCAGGCCTTTGGAAATGCCAAGACAACAAGGAACGACAACAGCAGTCGTTTTGGAAAGTATATAGAGATCGGATTTGACAAAAAGCATTGTATAACAGGAGCCAACATGAGAACCTATTTATTGGAAAAGTCTAGAGTTGTGTTTCAGGTAGACAATATGTACATTTATTTTCTGTATTTTAAAACCAATTTCTAGTGTGGTTTTGTATGTATTCATGCCTGCACGGTGTTTAGGCTCAAGAAGAAAGAAACTACCATATATTCTATCAATTGTGTGCTTCGTCACATTTACCAGAATACAAAAACTTCAAATTAGGTAAGAGCTCAGTGACTTATGCACTTTGAATATGAAAAATATGTGATTTTTTTTTTTGACTGTCTGACGTAACACCAGACCTTTAATTTCAGGTGATGCTGATGACTTCCATTATACCAACCAAGGTCAAAATCCAGTTATCGAGGGAGTGAATGACGCCAAGGAGATGATCAACACTAGGAAAGCTTTCTTGTTGCTGGGTGAGTTAAAATTACGTCCTTTCCTTTATAACTGCCATCAATCATCTATTTGTATAGCACTATCTGTGTACAAGGCAATTCAAGAGCAATTTAAATACAATCATTTCATAGCCATCAATCACGTTTTACTATTATATTAAAGGGATTGATGTACCACACCAAATGGCCATATACCAAATTCTAGCAGCACTTCTTCATCTCAGTAATGTTGAAATAAAGGAAGAATCCAGAGACAGAAGTTCCGTCGTGGTGAATATCAAACGACATATAAATGATGATAACTTAATGTTATTGTACCCTCATTGTTTTCTCTTTTCTCCAGTCAAATAACGGCCATCTGAATGTGTTTTCTGAGCTGCTGGGGGTGTCGTGTGAAGAGATGACCCACTGGTTGTGCCACAGAAAACTCAAAACAACGACCGAAACCTTCGTCAAATCTCTTTCTAAGGTTAATGCAACGACTGGTCGCGATGCTCTGGCCAAACATATCTACGCCAGACTCTTCAGCTGGATTGTGGACAATGTGAACAACACGCTGAGATCAACTTCTAAACAGCACTCCTTCATTGGAGTATTGGATATCTATGGGTACACACCAGTTTTTACTCAGTAACATAATATTGAAAGCAGCGTTGAGGGGAGCGTTAAGGGACCTTTTCGTCAAGTTAAAGCTAGAGTATTTAACTTTGAACATGCAGAAAAAACAATGTACTCGTTCCTCTCTATCAAAATTGTAGCACAAAAGCTTTAGGAGTTCAATAGGAACCAGAGTGAGTTGGAGAAAAACTTTGTCTATGTGCATTGTTTTGTTATTCTGTAGTACTTGTACCTCTTTGAGTCATAAAATATCTCGGCATATTTTGGTCCAGGAATCAAAAAACAATTATTGATGGCGAAATATTTTGACAACTATTTCAATAATTGATTAGTAGACTTGTTAACTTATTGACTTCTTACAGCCCTAGTGTCGATGCTGTTATATTATAATGTCGCCTGTTGCTTTTCTCTAGATTTGAAACGTTTGAGATCAACAGCTTCGAGCAGTTCTGCATTAACTATGCAAATGAAAAACTTCAGCATCAGTTTAACTTGGTATATGTCTTTACTTGCTCGGGAAAAAATACAAATGCAATACAAAATTACTCCAATCTCCATAACCTGTCACTTTTTGCAGCACGTCTTCAAACTGGAGCAGGAGGAGTACATGAGAGAGGAGATCCCATGGACTCTCATCGACTTCTACGACAACCAGCCTTGTATAAACCTGATCGAAGCCAAACTCGGCATCCTGGACCTTTTGGATGAAGAGTGCAGAGTAAAAAAAAAGTCTAAAAAGTCTATTCCTCGGCCTGCTCTCTGCCGAAGGAGAGCTATGTTTAGACGTTACGCATCAGGCCATGACTAACTGATGCGTCAGCGGTTTTTCCTCTCCACAGATGCCAAAAGGTTCTGATGATACATGGGCCCAGAAAATGTACAACACTTTCCAAAAGAAAAACTTGCACTTTGAGAAACCTCGATTGTCCAACACGGCCTTTATTATTCACCATTTTGCAGACAAGGTACTTGAACACAATTGAATGCAGCATTTGAATAGAAGTTGAGGTCAGGAAGTTTCTGTGCCTGAGTGTGCGGTGGGTGTTCCCAGCATTTCTCTCATGAACAGAGCAAGCTGTGGAAAATGAATAAATAGGTGCTTGACGCATACAGTACATTCCACCAAAAGGCAAAAGGAGAAGGAGGTTGGAAAGAACTGGTATAGGTCACACTGGCATGTTCATTATTTTGCTAACTTTGTAGTGTCATACATTCTCTTTTTGGTAAATACATTCATTTAATATACACAACAAATACTGTTAATATTAGTAGTAGTCTTAATTTTGAATTATGCATTGTACAATATAATAAGAAAAAACGTATATGCACAAAGTTGAAAAGGAGTAGGTAGAAGTAAAAATGAGTTTCAAACCCATTATAACATGTTCTTTCTTTTAAAGAACACCAAAGAATTCAGATCAATTCTTACAAAACTAACAAACTTCAGATATTTTTCTTAAGTATAATTGCCACTCTTTACCATAAATAGTCATATTTTAAGACCAGTGATGTTCTAGGATCTATTACCTTTTCTACTCAATCGTTTTGTTATTTAATTTTAACACGTTTATGTATGTAGGCCCTACATAGTGCACTATTACATGCTTAGTGACTTTATTTTTCTCCTGGTGAGCCCATCTGAATGTTTTCTCAACTGTTTTAGGTGGAATACCAGTGTTTTGGATTCCTAGAGAAAAACAAGGACACTGTAAATGAGGAGCAGATCAACGTCCTCTCAAAGAGTCAGGTAAAGACATGCTGTAAAGTCTTCTGCGCTGTAACGTCCTGTGCTGAATCATAGACGTGGACTGAGTGCTGGTGTCATTACAGTGTTAGCCTTAATGCTGAAGAGGCAGATTTGAAAATAAGCTAGCCTGAGGCCATTTTCTTATTTGTGCAGTATCAGGGGCAAACATGTTGCCAAGGCGGTTGCTAAGACAAGCTTGAGTTTCCCTGCAAATTAAGGCATCTGATTGGATAATCCTTAAATGGCTCATATATGCATTTATAAAGACCAATATAAAAATATAAACACCAGGATCACTGAGATCACTAAGCCCACAATGGTGAGTGTGACACAAACAATTGCTGAGCTAGAGGACTTTTTAATGTAAGTGAAGAGGAGCCAGAGCAAGTTGGAACAAAACTTCATCTATGAGCACTTCCTTATTGAGCTAGGGGGATTAGCATTTCCCATCTATATACAGTCTTTGTGCTGACTACAAGTTTCAACTATCAGAGGAAATGAAACTGAGACAAACTAGAGCGGTGCTTTCTGCTGGATATTCTAATAATCCTTTTTTTCTTCTTTCTTTTTTTATTTTGCAGTTTGGAATGTTGCTGAAACTATGCGAGTATGATGAGAAAGCCGCAGGCACATCCAAGAAGCAAACTCGACCGAGTCAGAAAGAGACTAAAAAAACAGTTGGGCTGCAGGTAATCGCGTAAAGAATGAAGTGTCTCATCAATCATGATGAAAACATAACAAAACGATCACTGTTTGATATTTATGTGCAGTTTCGTCAGTCTCTGCATTTATTGATGGAAACATTAAATCACACCACTCCTCATTATGTCCGATGCATCAAACCAAACGATCTCAAAGCTCCTTTTAAGTAAGAACAACCATAATGTTTGTTTGGCCTATACATGTTAGTGGTGGGGAAAACGATTGTGTTTAGTATCGTGACATTTTGCGCGTGCGTAATGAAATCGCTATAGCAAAGCAAAGTATTGCAATATTTCATAAAATAATGATCTGTTTCACTTTAGAGTTTACTCTGAGAATTTACATCTGAGGTTTATGTTACTCTACAATGGACTAGAGGAACAAAAGGTATACATATAATAATTTAAGTTCGCCTATTCAGAAAATAATTATGTCTTGTAATAAAGTCCTGTGTCTTGAATGTTCAAGGCCAGTTTTTAAACTTCAGTTAATATGCAGACCACAATAAATGTGACATTTAAGTTGAGCAGTCTTATTTTCATATTTTTTTGTAATTCCGTTGAATAATATGAGGGACATGAATCACAATATATTGCAGAATTGAATCGCAATACTTTCTGTGTCGCTTTGAATCGTCACATTTTTGCCAACTCCCACCCCCAATTCATGTTCAAATCCTGGTACAGTAACTTTCTCTTTTTGTTGTAAAGACTGGACCCCTCTAGAGCCGTTCAGCAGCTTCGAGCTTGTGGCATCCTGGAAACCGTCCGCATCTCGGCTGCAGGATTTCCATCAAGGCACTGAAACCTAAAAGACTATTGTTCTCAGAGTCTGTATAGACGGCAAGTTGATGTATTCATAATTCATGTTGCAGGTGGACTTATCAAGAATTCTTTGTTCGATACCGGGTCCTGTTGAAACGGAAGGATATCCTGGCTGACTGGAAACAGACTTGTAAAAATCTATTAGAGAAATGTATTCAGGTATGTAGACGTGTCATTTAAAGGAGACATGTCATGGTGCTATGTGACTTGGGTGGCATCTCTGACTGCCACCCCCCCGACCCAGAAATGGATTAAGGGGTAGAAAATGGATGAATGGATGGATGGATGCATGCATGCATGTACCTGAAGTCGTTTTTTAGATCTATCCACAAACATGTAATTTTTAATATAAATGTAGTTGTAATGAATTTGTTTTGGCCATCTTTCAAGTGAAGTTATATTTCAAACAATTGCATGGATGTGTTTTCAGCCGTTAATTTTCAAATTTGGAATAACAAAATAAATCCACTTCCTTCTTCCGGTGGTAGCATAGGGAGTTAGAGATGGAAAACACATTTACCCTTCAAATAATTTATACTTGGGAATAAAATGTTGCATTGTAAAACGTGAAATGTTAAGTAAATAGTCTCATTATCATTTTTGAATGGCCAAAACAGATGTATGTAGATTAAATGTACATGTATTTCTTGGTTTATTATGTTACAGGATAAGAATAAATATCAGTTTGGCAAAAATAAAATATTCTTCAGAGCTGGCCAAGTTGCATTCCTTGAAAAGCTTCGCTCTGATAAACTCCGGCTGGCCTGTGTGCGCATCCAGAAGACTATTCGCTGTTGGCTCGCTCGCAAGAAGTACCTGCGGATGAGACAGGCTGCTGTTCTCATTCAGAAACATGTCCGGGCGTCTCAAGCTCGCCGGTCAGTAACACAGCCAACTGAAGAAACATGATGCATTTTAAATTAAGAAATGTAACCCACGAATCTCTCTGACAGTTACGTCATGTTCCTTCGACAAACTCGGGCCGCTTTGGTTATTCAGCGAAGTGTGAGAATGTGGCGGCAGCGGAGGAGGTACAGGCAGATGCGCGCCGCTGCTCTCACCATCCAGTGCTTCCTCAGAGCATACATGGCCCGAATGCAGTACTACAAAGTAATGTCTATTATACTCTCATATAAGCTATTTGGATTTCTATGCATTTTCTGTTTTTAGACTTTGTAATACAAAAAGAAAAGTTTGATTTAGGCTTGCTTGTAAGTTCAGTCTCTTTTATTTTTGTGAACATCTTCTCTGCAGCTGATCTATGAGCGCACAGCGGTGACCATACAGAGATGGGTGAAGGGCTGGCTGGTGAGGAGACAATATAAACGCACCGTGGCAACAGTGGTCCTTCTTCAGAGCTGTGTGCGCCGCATGAAAGCCAAGAGAGAACTGAAGAAGTTGAAAGCAGAGGCTCGTTCTGTGGAGCACTTTAAGACCCTGAACGTGGGTATGGAGAACAAAATAATGCAACTCCAGCACAAGATCAATGAACAGGTGAGTTTTACAGGAAGTTTCTGGGCTGCATTTACATCCTCTTCATTTCTCTGAAAATGATTGGGTCACTGGGAGACGTCATATCACATGCACAGCATGTGTGTGTGTGCCCTACAGCAAAGAGAGAACAGAGAGCTCAGTGAGAGGCTGTCTGCAGCAGTGAAAAGCCAAGCTTTGGAAAAGGAAAAACAAAACAAGGATCTAAACAATCTGCGGCGGTCAGAGGAGGAGGTTCGGGCTAAAGCTGAAGCTGTCCCATCTCTGTTGGAGCAACTTTCTTTCCTTCACAGCGAGCTGGAAAACACAAAAAGAGAGAAGGAGCTGATAGAAGAACAATCAAAACTGTATGTGGACAGAACTCAAAAGGTCAGCCTCTCCTAGTATTGTGTCTATTTTTTCACCCAATTAAAAGTAATTACAATAAAATGACTTTCATTTTCTCTACTACTGTAGGTGGTTGAGGATCTGAATCTGAAAAACAATGAATTAACTAAAGAGAATTCTGACATGCAGACACTAATCTTAGAACAAGCCCAGAAGTTAGCAGGTAAGGCTCAAAGTTTAGTTTAACTAATCACAGTACTATCTTTGTTTCTAAAACATGTCCTTCTTAAGAGGTAAATGCCAATTTCGGAGACAAAAAACTTTTAGAGATGGACTTGAATGAGGAGCGCTCCCGTTACCAGAATCTTCTGTCCGAACACTTGGAGCTGGAGGAGCGGCACCGGGATCTGAAAGAGGAGCTCAGCAACGTGGTTAGCCATTTTATTTTCTCACTAATCCAATCTAATCATATTTACTGGACATAAGTTGTACCTCTCATTATAGAGTCTGACAAAACGGACCCACAAAAGAAGTGACTCTTATTATAGCAGTAATTCTTCAGAGTTTAGTCAAAGTTTGGGTTCCACTGATGCTGAGGACAACGGCAGCCAAACGGAGGTTTGACATTCTGTGTGTGTCATTATATTACACTATTTTATCTACAAATCTCTATTCTTTGTTATTGTTTAGAGTGAATCAACAGTCGACCTGCCACTTATGCTCAAACTGCAAAGAAGAGTAAAAGAACTGGAGCTTGAGAAACAATCGCTTTCACACCAACTAGAAAACAGGGAGGAAACGGTGCTAGTATGTCATCATTCAGTATTTTAACCACAGTAGATCACAAAGACAACAAGTCATTTGTGGTGTTTGTTGTTTCAAAGCTGGTGGAGGAGGAGAGAACAGCAGGCAGGACAGAGCTGGATTTGGAAGCCTTAAAGGTATAGTGTATAGTGCGAGTTTATGAAATATTGTATCTGAACATGTGGTTTTTGATTTTATCTTTCTGAACAGAGGCAGGAACTTGAATATGAAAACAAGAGGCTGAAAGAGGATTTGAATGAGCTGCGTAAATCTCTCACTGGTGAAGATGAAGACTTGGTCCCCCCGGCCCCAGGAACCAAACCGTACAGTGTTCTATTGGATCAGCTCACGTCGTCCACCGAGGAGCTGGAGATGAGGAAAGAGGAGGTGATGCTTCTCAGATCACATATGGTTCGCCAAGAGGCCCTCAAACACAAGGTACAACTGTGTAGCTCTTGGTTGATTGTGCGGTTAAAGCCAGAACTGGTGGTTAAATTAAGATTATTTTGTCCTTTACATTTTGTCATAACCAACATTAGAGCTTGGAACAGAAATGAAAAAAATACCTTACAATTAGATCTAATTACTATTATTTTACATATTTAAGAAACTTTACAATTTTCACACATTTAAAATCAATGCATACCTTGTTCCCTCTATCTACTGTGGCTGAAGTTTGTTGTTGTTACTTTTCTAACATTTTTCGACCTTAGACTAGACCGTAGCTGTTTGTTTGTAAGGGCTTTCCCATCTGATGTAACGTGAGGTACTTAACTTAGTGTCAAAATAAAACTTTTTCTATGAATAGATACAAAAGCGCTAATCAACCTTTACACACTGCATTCACTCACTAAGCATTTGTGTGTCAGCCATTATCGGAGTGCACTCTTTTTGAATCATATGTATGTTCAGAGATGGAAGTAACTACTTATTTTTACTAGCTGTTTTTAGTGTCTTTAATTTTATATTTTAAAAGAACGAGCTGCTTTAATCTCGGAGGACTTTATAGAGTTGTCAAATCCGCTAGAGATCAGAGATTCAAACGGTTCCAACACAGGAAATGAGATCTTTATTCATCCCACAGTGGGGAAATTTCCATTTTGCAGTGCGCATGCAGGACAGTAGTAAGACCACACAAGGAGCACACAAACTAGACAGAGATAAGTAACTGTTAAAGGCTTCTTAACTAGCTGTAAGAAGCTATAAGTGCAGCCGGTAAATATAAAAATAGGGAGAGGATGACCATTGTCTGTAAATTCTAATAAATGTTCTTGAATGTCCCGGTTCATCACCCCAAGAATGCGGGAGAGTCTACGTTTAAAAAAAAAAATCCGAAGTCCAACAAAAATGCATCACAAAACTTTTCCTTTTGCTAGAGCCAATTTTTTATCTATTATTTATAGTTTTGAGGTACCTAAGACTCTTTCCATCTCTATGTACTGTATGTTTTTGTAGAGTTCTGACCTGGGTGAAAGTGTTAAACTAAATCTGACGGAGATGCCTTCCCTTCAAAATACTGGCAGGTAATAGCTTCTTCCATTCTTCTTCTTCTAGCGACTAACATAATATTCATAATTAATTTCTATCATTACGAGAAGCAGATCAAAGAATATCCATACACTAAATGAAGATGGAGAACTATGGTTGGCCTACGAAGGGTTAAAGGAAGCCAACAGGTAAAAAGCACAGTGTTGTGAATGAAAACAAAGTGATATTTGAAATAAATTATATTATTTCAGGGTTCTGGAGTTCCAAATGCGTGAGCAGGACCGCACTCACGGTGAAGAGTGCAAACGGCTCAGAGACGAGCTGAGAAAACTGAAGGAGGACCGGGCCGAGCAGCAAAACTTTTTGGCCCGAAGCCTCCAGCTCCCTGAGGCGGCGCGGATCGATGCAGGACTCAAGCATGAAATCACACATCTTACCAATGAGAATCTGGTAACGATTATTAATTTAAAACCATTTTGTATTAGTATGTTATAGGAACTGAATCTAAACTTTGTTCCCTCATCAAAAAATGGGCCGCCCCTCATGTTGAAACTCTCCTGTCTCAGTGTTATGATGTAATTGCCTATTACATCATGCTTAGAGCTGATATCTACCTTTTTAAAACAAAAATATTGAATTTAAATTTATTCTGGCAATTTCTCTTTTTAAAATATAACTGTCTTTATTTCCATCAATTCAAGCACCTGACAACTCATGACAGATGGCAATGATATTTCAACACAAAAAAATCGCCCCAATTATAACCAAAAAAAATTTCCTTGACGATCAACAAAAATCATACATATACATATTGCCGATAAAAAAGATAAAACAAAAGAGTAAGAGTAGTTTTGGAAATTTCTCAAGTGAAATCAAGTTTCTTACAATCATATACAGTAGTTGTGTTTGCCGACCAAAATTTGAAAACGAAAACAAACTAACCCCACAGCAAACAAAACCAATTCAACTCCTCCCCCTGGTGGCGGCATAGGGAGTTACATGTGGATGGAATTTATTATAACTGATACATGATTCCCCATATAATTTCTACTCAAAATTTTATTTCACTTTCTAAAACATGAAATGACGAAGTAAAAAGTTTCATTATAATGTCAATGGACAAATAATGAAAATGACATTTCTTTATTATTCAATCATGTAATCAATCATGTACACCTCTTTATTGTGAAAATAGAACTTTTTTTTCCACATTCAGGAACTTATGGAGGAACAAGAAAGGCAGGAAAGAATGATTCGCAAATTAAGAAAGCATCTTAAACTATGTATGAGAAAGATTGAAGAATACGAAGGTAATTTTGAGAACTCTGATTAATAACAACTGTAAAATAAAACCACATTCCTGAAGCTTTTCATTTTGTAGCAAATGCTCAACTAAAGGAGAGGGCTTCCACCATAACTCCTCCAGCAATAAACGCAAACGTCACCCGCAAGGAGAAAGAATACCAGGGCATGTTGAAGTACAAGCAGGGGGATGAGACGCGGCTGCTCAAGAATTTGGTCACAGGTACGGCTTTAAAGAGTCTTATTTAAAGAATATTTATCTGTGTACAAAGTTTCTTGCGTTTGGTGCTATGTGGTTTATCTCTTCAGACCTAAAGCCTCGAGGTGTCGCGGTCAGTTTTATTCCTGGACTTCCTGCCTATATTATTTTCATGTGCCTTCGATACGCCGATTATGTCAACAATGATCAAAGGGTCACTGCACTACTCAATAATACAATTGGCAGCATCAAAGGAGTTATTAAGGTGAATAATTGTACATTTAATCAGTGTTCTAGTAGCATTTCTTACCGGTTCTATCTAATAATAGTGTTGTTATTTCAGAAAAGAGGAAGCGACTTTGAAATAGTCTCTTTCTGGCTGTCCAACACTTGTCGATTATTGCATTGTCTTAAGCAATACAGCGGAGAAACGGTAAAATTCAATTGTGTTAATTACAAAAACATATATACCTGATGACAAAAATGTATAAACAATCTCCTCCCCTGCTCATTTATTATGTATAATGTGTTTTTTAAATCAATTTATTAGATCGTTTTATATTATTCTGCTTATATAAAGATTGTTTTTCTTGTTCTTGTAATGTTGTAATTATATTTTTATTCATGTTTAGATTTACACAGCGCAAAACACACCCAAGCAGAATGACCACTGCCTGAGTAACTTCGAGCTGTCCGAGTACCAGCAGGTCTTTGAGGACCTCGCTATCCAGATATATCGCCAGTTCATCAAGTGCATGGAGGACATAATGCAGCCTCTTATTGGTTTGTGTTTTCCTAACCTTTTCTTTTATAAACGTTTATAATACGTACTTATAGTTCTACTTTTGACTGTTCACATTACCTACAATTAAACAGTTAAATCATTACACTTCATTTTACTTCAGGTTAGAGGGGTTGTTTCATGTTATGATAAGGTAATATTCTTACATAGGATGGATGGCACCTGGGTTCGATTCCACCTCCAGACTGGACCATTCTCAGTGGAGTTTGCATGTTCTGCCTATGTCTGTCTAGGTTTCCGAAGGGTGTTCTGGTTGTCACTATCGCTAAAAACATGTATAATCTCTCTGGGGCCCCTGAAAAAGAGATTCTGAAAACTAAATGAGACTTTCTTGGTTACATTTCCTAGAATGAGTCTGGTGTGTGTGTGAATGGTTGGTGGTGGTCGGAGGGGCCAATGGCACATACTGGTTGCCTCGCTTCTATCATTGTGCCCCAGGGCAGCTGTGGCTACACTAGTAGTTTATCACCACCGTGTATGGAGTGAAAGAATAATGAATAATGAATGATTATTATTACTATTAAATATTAGTCAATAAAATACTACAGTTGTTATGTTGTACTTATCAAAAGGCTACAATTGTCGTACACAGTGTCGAGTATGCTGGAGCATGAGAACATCCAAGGGGTGCTCGGATCCAAACCAACCGGCCATAGAAAGAAAAGCTGTAGTTTTCCCGAAGATGGGACCACGTCAATCGAAGCACTGCTACAGCGACTCAGCAGTTTGTTCTCCAGCATGAATCAGCATGGCATGGACCCACCCCTCATCAAACAGGTGGTCCGGCAGCAGTTCTACATCATCTGTGCCATCACGCTCAACCACCTGCTGCTTCGAAAAGACATGTGCTCCTGGAGTAAAGGATTACAGATCAGGTATTTTAAAAAAGTGTTTTGTTTACTGCGGTGATAGAAATGGCTTTGCGCCTGGTTTGTGTGGGTGAACAATGGCTGCAATAACTATACAATACTTTGACAGTGATTAACAGCAGTCACGACACAGTTGCACAATAGAGAATTTAAATGATTTGTCCTGTTTGGGTCGATGCCCAGTTTTGACTTTGTTTGGCACTGGTGTTTTTTTCCAGGTACAATGTCTGGCAGCTGGAGGAGTGGCTGACGGAGAAGGATATGGCAAACAGTGGCGCCAAAGAGATGCTGGAGCCCCTGGTTCAGGCGGCACAGCTTCTGCAGATCAAGAAGAAGACAGAGGCGGATGCACTGGCCATCTGCAACATGTGCACGGAACTCACTCCACTACAGGTCTGCAGCAATAATCACTTCACTTTCTATGTCTCTTATCTGTTACTTCTGTCATTTTGAGGTTGGTTGATCATTGCTTTTCTTTCCATAGATTGTGAAGATTTTGACATTGTACACACCGGTTATTGAATTCGAAGAGCGAGTGTCCACTACTTTTATAGACACAATGAAAGTAAGAACCAAAATGTTTCCTATGTCTGCTGTGTTTTCTCGTATAGATCTGCTGAATTACATGTTTTATTTTATCTTTAGGATTTTCTAAAAGACAGAGACAAGTCGCCTACTTTGATGATGGACACGAAGAAGATTTTTAATGTTACCATTCAGTTTACCACTTCCTCTGTGGCCTTTGACAGTATTCAAATCCCCTCCAGCTTCAATTTGGGCTTTCTTACGCGCATCTAGACTGTTACTTAAAAAAAAAAAAAAAAACTACCTTCATTCGAATCCAACTGCTGATAATCTGTGTTTTCTATATTTCAGTTCTGTTTGTTGATGCTTTTTTGTTAGTATTGTGTGTCTACTCCATTACTGAAAGCATTTCTGTAGTTGTCATGTGTTTTTATGCATAAATCCTTCCACGTGGATAGTTACTAATTTATTAAAACTTTAAATATTATGAAAGATGAACCTGTATATATTACTAGCAACCAAATAAAAAAGCACTTTTTGGAATATAACGTGATTCATATTAATGTGACATCCAATCTGAATCAATGTTATCTTCATTCTTTGTGAGAAAAAGTGCCTGTTTCTTAAAAAACAATTCATTGCTTTTCCCATTGGCAAATCCTGTTTAAAGTTGGATTCCCATAAATTCCATTTTTTATACTATTTTGTTATAAATTGCCTTATGAGATTCCTAATGTCTTCAAAGCATGCTAGTTATGCTTCCAATGTGGCTGTGGTTAGCTTAAACTAAAGTGTTTTCGTCTTTTTGGACAGTTTATTTACAATAAAGACACAATGAATTTTCTCAAAAAAATGAAAATAAAGTGCTTCTCAATTCTAATAACCATTGCTGTGTTTTGTTTTTTGCCATGTTCTGTGAAACTTTTCTACAATGGGATAGCCTTTCAAAGTCAATACCTCAAATAAATATATAAATTTGTCTGTAATTGAATGATTTTAGTTATTCCAGAGTTAACTTCCTTTTACTAATATACCAGCAGCCAACTTTTCCCACTAGTGTTACCTGTCTAATAATATTTTCACTAGCCCTGGAGATCTACTGGCTTTAAAAAAATCGTTCTTCACTCTGAATACAATTTGTGTGATGACCCAGTCTCCAATGGACTGACTCAATAACAGAGGAAAGTTTGCATCCTGTTTCTCTTTGTGACTATGGTGACTGTGGGGCCCTTGTTCAAACGAGCGCACCCATCAAGCTGTCACAAGATGTGGAGGCGGGGCAAAGTACACAGGTGCACGGCTCATGAGGAAGTACAAACAATTACAAAATAAAAGCATTGCAACATTCGCGTATTCCACTCCTGAGCCAACAAAATGAATGTGTGCGAAATGTAAAATATTATTCATGACGCAAGGCCACAAATAATATATGAATGAGTCCCACAAAGAATAATAAACATACTCGGTGTTTCTATACATCTTATTTTGAATGTCGTAACCGGAAGTGCGCTGCTCATACATTGTTACATGACTTTCTTGGATACTTTTGTGAAGGAAATTTAGTGACCTGGAAAATTAGGAACAGACAGAAGTTGTTTGGTAAACTTTCGCTAACAAAATGCTCTAATATGTCTCTTCTGGAGCTGTACACGAAGGTAAGCGCAAAAGCTGCTTGAAAAATAGTTTCGGAAAGTTGACTCCATATGGGAAATTTGGAAGACGCGACAGGTGTCAAAGCGATTGAATTAAGATTGGAACTTTTTCGCTGTATTCCTTAAGTTATGCATTGTCATGTTTTCAGTACAACCGAGTCTGGATCCCAAATGAAGTGGAGATTTGGAAATCGGCTGAAATTAGAAAGGACTTTCATCTTGGAGATAGTTTTCTGGAGTTGCTTCTTGAAGATGGCACAGTAGGCTATATCTTGCTTGTTTGTTTTTTTTAGAACTCCATAGCCTAGATCTCAATCTTGATAATTATTTGGACATTTCTTCCTTTGTCTCAATCATAGAAATCTAATCTACATAAGAGATAATGCAGACATCTTACATCACTGTACTTTCCATTGCAGGAGCTTCAGTATACAGTTGACCCATCCACTCCTCAGCTCCCTCCTCTTCGTAATCCAGACATCTTGGTTGGAGAGAATGACCTCACTGCTCTCAGCTACTTGCATGAGCCCGCAGTGCTGCACAACCTCAAAGTGCGCTTTGTGGAGTCCAAAATCATCTATACCTATTGTGGTAGGCAACCATGAACCACAGACTAATCTATTTTGTTCAACTGTTATGCAAAAATGAGGACATAGATTTTCCCTATTGCCAGGTATCATATTGGTGGCTGTAAACCCCTACAAACAGCTTCCCGTTTATGGGGATGCAATAATTCATGCATACTCTGGCAAAAATATGGGAGATATGGATCCTCATATATTTGCTGTAGCTGAGGAAGCTTACAAGCAATTGGCAAGGTAAAAATATATATTATTTTGTATAGAATGATATGATAATATATATTTTTTTTTACAGAAATCAAAAGAACCAGTCTATAATTGTCAGTGGAGAGTCGGGAGCAGGCAAAACTGTGTCTGCTCGATTTGCAATGAGGTACTTTGCTGTTGTCAGTAAATCAGGCAGTAATACTAGAGTGGAAGACAAAGTCCTGGCGTCAAACCCAGTAACAGAGGTGAGAAGGTTCTAGTGTGCGACCAAATAACTTGTGTTCTCCTGAATATGTCACCAGATCAACGCCCTATTGTTTTATGTATGTCAGGCGATAGGTAACGCCAAAACCACCCGGAATGACAACAGCAGCCGCTTTGGGAAATACACTGAGATTGGATTTGACAGGAGGTATCGCATCATTGGAGCGAATATGAGGACCTATCTTCTTGAGAAATCCAGAGTCGTCTTTCAGGTAGTGAACCGTACATGAGCGTGGACTTGTATTTTTATATTGTCATACAAACAAAATGTGTTTTCTCCAGGCAGACAATGAGAGGAATTATCATATTTTCTACCAGCTGTGCGCCTGTGCCAAGTTACCAGACTTCAAATGCTTAAGGCTGTGTAGGTTCGCCTTTTGTGTTCATGTTCTTATTGGTAAGTTATATTCACATTTGTCATGAATGCAGTGAGTGCTGAGGAGTTCCAGTATACATGTTTGGGCGGGGACATCTTCATCGAGGGAATAGATGATAAAAAAGACATGGAAGAGACGCGCAAAACGTTCTCTCTGCTGGGTATAAAGCATTATTATGACTGTATAACTTGGAATTAATAAAAAAAATTCAAATTATCTTGTCTCATTATGCAGGATTGAAAGAAGATTTTCAGTTTGATGTCTTCAAAGTTTTGGCAGCCATTTTACACTTAGGAAATGTTGAAATAAAAAGCGCTGGAGATGACAAGTCTTCCATACCTGTAAGCCTATTGCACTTCTCCCAATGTTCTAAATCACTTATAAATGATGACAAATGTTGGTAGTAAGTGAAATCTCAAATGAGTGTGAGTTCTCACTTAATGGACACGTATACAAAAGTTAAAGTTCTTTTCTGTTTGTTTTTCCCAGTCCAGTGATCCACACCTGTCCGTGTTTTGTGAGCTGCTGAAGGTGAACGCCGTGGATCTGGTTCGCTGGTTGTGCCATCGCAGGATTGTCCTTGTGTCTGAGACGGTAGTGAAGCCACTGCCAAAGAAACGTGTCATAAATGCCAGGGATGCCCTCGCCAAGCAGATCTACGCTCATCTGTTCGACTGCATCATCAGCAGAATCAACACTGCTCTGAAAGTACCTGGAAATCAACACGCTTTTATTGGTGTCCTGGACATTTATGGGTAATCAAACAAGTGGGTTGTTAGGTATAAGTAAATACACTAAATAATACATTCTGTCTTTATAGCTTTGAAACATTTGATATAAACAGCTTTGAACAGTTCTGTATCAACTATGCAAATGAGAAGCTTCAGCAACAATTTAACTTGGTACTTGCACAAACCCTATGCGTATTTTGTTTTATGTTTTGTAATTACTCAGGTAAATATTTCCTCTTTTTCCAACAGCATGTATTCAAGCTTGAACAGGAGGAGTACATGAAGGAGGACATTCCGTGGACATTAATAGACTTTTACGATAATCAACCTGTTATTGACCTCATTGAAGCCAAAATGGGGATCCTTGATTTACTTGATGAAGAATGCATGGTGCGATTATTGTTAATTTGCTGTTTTTTCCTCCCCAAACCTCATCCTAAAGAAATATGATGGCCTGTGTTGCAGTTTCCTCAAGGCACTGATCAAAGCTGGCTCCAAAAGCTTTACAACTACTTAAACCACAGCCCCCTGTTTGACAAGCCCAAGTTAAGAAATGAAGCCTTTATCATACAGCATTTTGCAGACAAGGTATGGTGAAGATGTGCCACTTTCCATGTAAAAAGATAAATAAAAAAGTTGTTTTAAATATTTGACCTTGTAGTGACCCAGTGGGCAGCATGGTAGTGTCTATAGTTCTCCAGGATACATTGTTTTGTTGGCTTTCTGATGCTACAATTAATCCTATAGCATCCTTAAGACCACTGTGATATAGTAAAGGCGCCATGCTGATGACTCATACATCCGCTGGGTAACGATAAGGTCAAATATGCAAAAATATAAACTTTTATTTCACATAAAACGTTGCATAATGCCCCCTTTTTAAGATGTTCACAGATGACTAATTTCCTTTTATCAGGTGGAATATCAATGTAATGGATTTCTTGAGAAAAACAGAGATGCTATATACGAAGAACTTGTTGATATTATGAGAGCGAGCAAGGTACCTACAAAAGCGCTTTACAAACCCATTTAATCCTCACTAACGAATCATTCTTTTTGCAGTTTTCTTTCCTTGCAAACTTTTTCCAAGAGAACGATCCAGCCGCTGCGTACAGTAAAGTTGTGAGAGTACGGCCTGCTCGTCCTGGAGTCAAACCAACCAATAAACAGCTCAGGACCTCAGTGGGAGATAAGGTCAGCAAATTTACTTTTCTATCTTACACAATAACGTGTCTACCACTATTGGCCCATAACAAATTTGTTTTATATAGTTTTATTGTTAGAGTTAGTGTACAGTTTTTTTCATATAAACCTTACTTTTAATTATATTGAGTTTTGAAATCGTCTTTTTATTTTTCTGAACAAAACTAGATCAGTTACTGAAAGTTTGGATTGTAATTGCACACTTGCAGGCCTTGTGTTTGACACCTGTGGTTTACATTTATAGAAAATGTTCTGAACTTTGATATTAAGAGATCCTTTATTTGTCCCAAAGTAGGGAAATTTCAGTGTTGCATCACTAGTTACAGTTTAACAATAATTCTATATTCATTAAAATTAAAATCTGTAGCTCTAGAAGAAAGTAGAATCAAGTATAAAATCTGTCTTTAGCATAATAAAGAAGTATAAAATCCCCATTTATCTCGATTTGTATCATTTGATATCAGTCATTTCATAAAGTCCTTTTTTCAATGTAGTTTTGCAGTTCTCTTTCTTTACTGATGGAAACCCTCAATGCCACTACTCCTCACTATGTGCGCTGCATCAAGCCAAATGATGACAAACTTCCCTTTGAGTGAGTACTTCTTTTAACGACACTCTTCAATTAGTTACTGTGATGTTTCCTGTATTTTGCATGTTCCAAGTTTGCATGTTTTTCAAGATATGACAGTGGCAGAGTGGTGCAGCAGCTGCGAGCCTGTGGAGTTCTGGAAACCATTCGTATCAGTGCACAAAGCTACCCTTCTCGGTAAATATGTCGTATTCAAACATAGCGGATTTTTATTGTTATATATTGTTGCAATGGTCATATTGTGTTTCAGGTGGACTTACATTGAGTTTTACAGCCGCTATAGTATTCTCAGAAGTCAACAGGACACGGACTCTGGCAAAAAACAAACTTGCATCAATATCTTACAGCGATTGATTCAGGTTGGTGAAATTTTTATTATTATTATTTTTTCACATCCCAGGTTTCTGTAACACAGCAAGAGATTATAAATATGAACCATCTCACATTTGTACAAATTCACTGCAGGATTCAAACCAGTACAAGTTTGGTCGGACTAAGATTTTTTTCCGAGCCGGTCAAGTGGCGTATCTGGAGAAGCTACGCCTAGACTATCTGAGAGGCTCGTGCATCATGATCCAAAAACACGTCCGGGGTTGGATTCAGAGGCAGAAATACTTGCGCTGGAGAGGAGCTGCAATAATCCTTCAACAGTACATCAGAGGGAAGAGGACTATCCGGTTAGTGATGATGTTTATAAAGATTTTCAATTGTTCTTTATGCAACAGTTTACCCTTACCTTTTTTATTATTATTTTTTATAGCAAAACTGTGAGTGCTGTCAAACTGAAGCAAGGCTGGGCAGCGATGATAATCCAGAGACACTGGAGAGGTTTCAGAGTGAGACAGATCTTTAGTGTGGTTCGAATGGCCACTGTTACGATTCAGGCCTTCACTCGCGGCTGGCTCGCTCGCAAACGCTATAACAAGGTCTGTATTGGTCTTCTTCTCATGTGTTGGTTCATTCTATGATAGATTTGGCTTCATGTGGCTATATTTTACTGTAGATGTTGCGGGACCACAAAGCACAGGTCCTGCAGAAGTATGCCAGAGCATGGCTGGCTCGAAGACGCTTTCAAACCATGCGGCGTCTTGTACAAAATGTCCAGCTTTCCTTCAGGGTGCAACAACTACGACAGAAAGTGGAAGAGCAGGTGAAAACATATGGCTGTAATATGTTTGTTTTATATTGTATGTGTAAATCAATTTTGAAAAATGTGCAGAACAAAGAAAACCATGGCCTGGTGGAAAAATTGACCTCGTTGGCAAACACCCATTCTCAGACTATGAATCGGCTTCAAAGCCTTGAGGTACAACTGGAAAAGTCCACCAGTCTGAAGGCGACTCTGGAAGCAAAAGAAAAGAAAGTCAAAGAAGACAGTAGTCAGGTAAATGTTTTGATTGTTAGAAAGTTCTTCCTGCATCGCAACCACAAAGTAGTGTACATGTTTGTTTTCACGCCAGGCCCTAGCTGGGCTCCAAGAACAAATTGACACATTAAAACTTGACAAACAGAAGCTGGAAAAAGCATATCAACTATCAACCCAACAAGCTAAAGGTAATTATTAAAGCCTATTTATACAACAGAAATCTCCCTTTTATCACACAACATTGTTTTTTTCAGAGAGTTTTGATCAAATAAAGAGGGCGCTTCTGGAAGAGAAAGAAAATGAGGCTCGGCTGAGAAAGTAAGACGTCGTACATTTCCACTCATTTCATTAATTCCCTTAATTTTCTGTCAACAAAAAAAAAAAGCACTGATCGAATCACATGTTGCATCGTTGTTTGTACAGAATTGTGGAAAACAGCACTGAGCTCCTGAGGCAGGACCATGAGAAAGAGGTGAATCTTTTAAAGGAGGACTTGAGGAGACTGCGGGAGGAAAAGGCAGGACTGGAGACAAAAATGGAGGAGAGCTTTCAGGTAAACGCCGACCTCCAAGAGCAAGTTGTTCAGCTCAGCAAACACGTCAAGGTAATCCCCGAGCTGCGGCGCGAGATCAACAGCCTGCAGAACCAGAGGAACGCCCTGGACCGAAAGATCAAGGAGCAGTCTGAGCAAGCAAGAGGTAACGGGCTTTATAAGGGATAAATCCATCTCACACTGCTCCAATATTGTTCCTTTACAGAGCTTTGTCAATGGAACTTTTTAAGATGAAAGAGATCCTTTATTCGTCCCACAGTGGGGAGATTTCAGTGTTGTATCACAAGTTACAGAACAGTAGGAATGAGGAGCTCAGAGCACAAGATACATGAATAATAACTCTATAGTAAAATAAGCTAGAGCATTGGCCTTAAGGCCAGAAGGTCGTGGGTTCAATTCCCACCTCTGCACCTTCTCCACCGACTCCCACTGATGACTGCTGTCGTTGTGTCTTTGGGCAAGACACTTAACCCCACTTTGCCCAAAGCCCCCACTGAAAGATCAAGGCTATGCTCACACTCAGAGAGCAGCCGTCCTCCTGTGGACTCACCACCTGCAGAGGATCAGTGAGGGGCTGGTGCTATGAGACTTGGGTGGCATCTCTGACTGCCACCCCCCTGACCCAGAAATAGATTAAAGGGTAGAAAATGGATGGATGGATGGATGGATAGTAAAATAAAATGAAATCTCTAACTATCATAACATGAAGCGGTATGAAATCTCTCTTTAGCATAGTAAGGACAGAAGTCTAAAATCTCCTACTTTAGCCTGATGAAGAAGCAAGACTTAAGTACAAAAACCCCACACTTTAGCATAGTAAGGAGCAAGTATAAAATGCTGTATATTCTAGTGAAAGTAATGTATAGTTTTCACCACAAAACTGCTGATCATTCTCTTTTTTTGCTCCTTTGAACCATTCTGTGTAAAACCGTATTTATGAGTCAATGAAAAAAGCCATTTGATCAGCAGTTTCTAAAATACACTTTCACAGCACGACAACTAAGGCCGTGTTCAAAGTTCTTTCAACAACACGAGGCAACTCAAAGTGTTTTACAAAACGACAAGAAAGCTATAATCATACATTAATATGTAAAAGACCATCATTTTTAGATACTGTAAAGCTGTCAATCAATAATGTATCACGCAAAGTTGTTCTTATGTACAGTAAGTGACTGGACCTTTTTTTTATTTTATGCAGAAAAAATGAATGAGTTTACGAGGCGGCTTCTTGGGGAAGTGGTTGAAGAGGAGGCGTTACAGGAGTATGATCTATGTTATTTAGTTTAAATGGAATAATTTGTTTTAAATCTACCACCACCCTTTTTTGATTCCCAGGCTGACATCCAACGATTCTGAGAAAGTCTTTGAAATTGAGGACTTGATTGCTGCATTTGATGGCCTGCAGAAAGCCACCAGGTTTAGATAGAGGATGTTTTGATGATTCCTGTAAAGTAACATTTATCTCACCCAACTTTTCATATTGTTCTAGGATCCTCGAGAACCACCAGAGGGAGCAAAAGGAGAGCCACGAGACACAAGTCCAGGGGTTGACGTTGAAAGTGGAACATTTTCAAAGCGAAAACGTCCAACTGCAAGATTTGTTTCAGGAAAAGAGTAGCGTTAACGAAAAGATTCACCAAGAATTGTCCAGACTTAGCAGTGAGAACGAGGTCTGTGCCTGAATGTAAAAAAAAAAAAAATTGTTGAAATTGTTTTTTTTAATGTCTGGATTTTGTTTTGTTTTAGGTTATCCCCGAGTTGAAGCTGCAGGTATCCGAGCTACAGAGGCAAAAGCAGGATCTCGAAGCACAAGTAGTTGAGAAGAGTAGAGATTTGGAAGGTATGTTCGCAGTTAAGAATATTTCAGTACATTTTTAAATGCCTGTTTTAAATGTATGCTTTTGTCGTGCCAAGACAAAACCCAGGAGATTTCAAATGTACTTCAGAAGAAAATTGAGGATGAGATTTCAAAATGCAGGTACCTTCTACACGTTACCCATACAATGTTTTTGATTAAGTCTATACTTGTATATACAGTATATTGTGTTTGTTTTTTTATAGGGTTTTGGAAGATAAAGCAGAAAAACTGGAAGAGTCAAAGGGGATGCTCGAGGACAGAATCGCCGAGTTGGAAGAGGAAAACGATCACGTGAAGCGGCTGCACCAAATGGAGAGCGAAGCCAAGACCAGACTGAGATATGAAGCCGCCCGGGTGACGGCTAAAAATATGGTGCGTTTATGGTCAGAGAAAATGTACCTATGAAAAATAGAATGTTTCTCTCCATATTTACAACACGGCTTTGCTTTGCTCTCCCATTTTTATTGGACAATTGTTAACATTTAAAGGATTATGAAGAGCAGATGGACCAAAAGGACAGACTAATAAAGAAGCTCAGGAGTCAAATAAAGAGCCTTGAATTAATGCAAAAAGGTACATTTTGAAGTTGACCTGTTGTTGTTTGCATTTGCTGTAAATTAAGATCATATTGTTGTCTTCTCACAGCCCAGCAAGCGTCTTTCTCAATTATCCCAAAAGAGTATTTGGGAATGTTGGAATACAAAGGGGAGCATGAAGCCAAACTCATTCAAAACATAATTTTAGGTAATGGTTTCATCTTATTTCTGATTAATTTAGATTATTTATTTATTTTACAAAGGCTTGAAACATTTCATTCTGTGTGTGATGATTCTACTGCATGTAAGGAGTAATCCCTGACTATTTTTCTTTTATTTTTTACTTCTTCACAATACTCTTTTGTATGTGCAATACTTGCTGGACTATAAGCCACTTGTCTCAAGGCCTTTGAACTCTGCGGCCTAAATAGGGATGTGGCCAATGTACAGTATGTATTTTTATTTTGTTTTTGTTAGTGGCTCTTATCAGATGATGAGTAGCACACAGATGTGATCAGGGCTATTGTTAGAGCAGTTATTTTTTTGACGCCATATAGTTTTAGAAAACAAAGAGGAACTGGTCCGAGGCACTCTGACTTGACTTGACTTCTACTGGACATAGAGACGCGACCTTTTTCTTCTTCGTTTTCTACTATTTTCTCACGGACCCTTGAAGAACACCTGACCACTCACGTCCATCCTATATTTTTTGATCTTTGCATGCACATATTGTATTGCCTCATATTGTCATTGAGTTTAAGTTGGAATGTTATTGTAAAATCAGTTGGATTTACCAGAGTGCTTTGATCATCAACAGTATGTTAAAACACCTCGTCATTAAATCATGAGTTAAAACGGTCTCTTGGTGGCTTTGTTTTGCACCATCAGCTGTTGGTAAGTTTTACATTCCAAGATGAAAACCTCTGGCGTATATCCAAGTGCAGCCTGTATGTGGACAAAAAAAAACGTTCTTTTCAAATTCGGCTTAATAGTCCAAGTACGGAACATACATTGCAAATCCATAAATGGGAAATTTGTCTCTATAGGAAAAGTAATATTTCTGTGTGATATCTTTGCAACATATTATTTCTGTTTTTTTCATCTCAAGCAGATTTGAAGCCCAAAGGTGTCGTGGTGAACATGATGCCCTCTCTCCCGGCCTACCTCTTATTCATGTGTGTGCGTCACGCTGACTATCTGAACGACGGCTCCAAGCTCAAGTCTCTCATGAACTCCATCATCAGTGGCATCAAGAAGGTCATAATGGTAAGAGCTGTATTCATAGTCGGTTGTTTAATAAGTTACTTCTTGCGTCATTCTCGTAATTCCGATATTTTCGTTGCAGACTTTTGACAAGGATTTGGATTTGCTGTCTTTCTGGCTCTCCAACACACATCTGCTGCTCAACTGTCTGAAGCAATACAGCGGCGAGGAGGTGTCCATCTCCTCTATGTAACTACTCTTCTCTGAATTTCTCTTCTTTTTAACTCCAGAGGATGTTTCTGTTCCAGGAGTTCATGAAACACAACACTCCTCGACAAAAGAAGAACTGCCTACGGAATTTTGACTTGTCCGAGCACCGACAGATCATCAGCGACCTGGCTATTCACATTTACCATCAGTTTGTGACAATTATGGAGAATGCGCTAAATCCTACTATCGGTAAGGACTTGATTGCATCCAAAGCTGGGGTACCAACATTTCAAATCACAAAAATAGAAAAATAATATAATCCAACTAACTAGTTAATCGCTCTCTAAACTGTTTGGGTCTATCTCTAGTTTTCACATGCATGGTTTTTTTGGCCCCTATCTTATCTTTGGAAAAGTTAGTCAGCTTTTGAGTGGATATTTGTAATTGATATTGGCGATGTAATATTGTGCAAGTCTCAAAAATAACAGAATTGTCCATATTCAGTTTGTACGCTACTACAGTTTTAGTTGCATTTCTTCCCTACTTGTATCAGCATACACTAATTTGAAGACTTGCCAATAACCTTTTGTCATTAACCCATTGTTTTCTCCTCAGTTCCGGGGATGTTGGAGCACGAGAGCTTACAGGGCATTTCCAGCATGAAGCCGACCGGTCTGAGGAAAAGGTCAAACAGTGTGTTTGAGGAGGACTCTGGGAGCTCCTCCATCTCCACCATAATGCAGCAGCTCAGTCACTTTCACAGCACCATGACGCAGCACGGCATGGAGCTGGGCTTGGTCAGACAGGTTATCAAACAACTGTTTTTCTTCATCGGAGCGGGAACCCTCAACAACATGATGCTACGGAAGGATTTGTGTTCCTGCAGGAAAGGGATGCAAATCAGGTATGCCATCAAAACATCAAACTTTATAAACATACAAGTCACAGATCAATCTTATGTGAACAATAATATAATCCTTTATTTGTCCTGCAGTGGGGAAAATTCAATGTCAGCGTTGCGCACATTACAGCAGAATAAAAAGAGGAAATAAGAGCACTCAGATTGCACACATCAAACAGGATCTATTATTTAAGATAATAAATAAAACATGATAATCAAATAAAAACTCTGGAGCTATTGTTGCTCTTGGTTCAAGGATTGTACACTAGTGGAGTACACACTGTAGTAAGCAGGAGGTATTTACAGACGTATATATTGTACTTTAGCAGCAGAGAACACGACCGGAGTAAACAATAATAGAAGCAGGTAAAGTGACTAGTAAATGACAGAAATTTCAGAAGAAGGGAATAAGTAATAATATATGGTAATAATAATACCATCAGGTAAATCGACTAGTAAAGTGACTTGTGACAGTGACGATGAATAAGTCTGTCACTGAAGCTACTTTCCAGAGCAGACAAGGCGTCCTGCAGGGGGTGACAGAGGCCATTGCAGAGACTCATTACTAAAATGTCTTGTATACACCGGCCCATATGCACCACAACAGTGCTCTAACCACCACCTTTTATCAACTTTCCGTTCTGTATTTAAAGTTCAGAATTTCACAAAAAGTGAAATGGTTATATAAATGTATGTATTTATCTTAGATGTAACATCAGTTATCTGGAGGAGTGGCTAAAGGAGAAAGATCTTCAAAGTACAAACGCCATGGACACTCTAAAGCCATTGTCACAAGCGGCTTGGCTACTGCAGGTCAACAAATCCAATGATGAAGATGCGACAGAAATCTCTCAGAAATGTACTGAGCTCAACTCCGTCCAGGTAACTCATCCACTCTGTCATCTGCGTCAAACCAACACATCTGTAGTGTCTTTCAGTGTTTTCTTAAGTCATACCTAAGTGAAGGTTCCTCCTTTGCAAAGCTTCTGTCCTATAATGAACTTTTGCTTCTGTAGATTGTGAAGATTTTAAATTCCTATACACCTATAGATGATTTTGAGAAGCGGGTTTCTCCATCCTTCGTTAAAAAAGTTCAAGTATGTATATTGTTATTGGTTTTGAGTGAGGAATGTATTTGTCTTATTGTTTGTTGTTGGTTTCAGTCTTTGCTTCAAGATCGTTGTGAAGGCTCCACTCAACTGATGATAGATGCAGATTATCGTTTCCAAGTCACATTTCCTTTCTGTCCATCAACACAAGCTCTGGAGCTACTTCAAGTCCCACAAAGTTTACATTTGGGATTTTTAACACGTATTTAACTTTTTACGACACTTTTAATGAAGGCTGCCCCTTACATTTGTATTGTTTTCTACACTACGAATTGTAAACTGGATCAAAATGTATTGTAAATGCTATACAATTTTAGAAACAATGTTGTGTTGCTAGAAGAGTTCTCCTTGACTTGTTGTAGCCTACAATCCTAAATGTATTTTAATTGTATTAATTCTGACTAATGAAGGATAATGTTTTACTGTTTACAATGTGAAATATTGAGGCCACTTTGAGAGTGTGTATATTTAATTCACTTTTTAAAAATTACTACAATTATCAAGTGTTATTTTGAAAAGATATTTACATTCTTATCTCTGTTGTTTTTGTTTAGGTTAAATATATTTGTATGAGTGTTTATTTTTTTGTTTAATAAAAGCATGTATTTATTTTCATATTTAATTGATAGGCTATGTTTTACTAAAGGTGATCTTCGTGAATAAATGTTTACATTAACACAATGTTGTGGAGCACACTTGTAAGTGCTGGCTACAATTAGGGTTAGGGTTACAATTAGCTGGTGCAAATGACTGGGTTTAATATCAATGTCAGTTTTATTTATTTTTTGATTAATTTTTATTTACATACAATCATGCATTTAATTGCAGTAATCGACTAATTACAATTGTAGTGTGTCCCCCCCCCCCCCTTTCAACCACTCCCACCTTCCCTGTTTCGTCTACAGACTGACATACATATGATGTATTGTAGAGAATGTTTAGCTGAGTACATATTGTAACTAAAAAGAAAGCGATATATGCGACAAATAATTATAAATATAGATATGCAATAATACAATAAACACGTAATAATAATACACACACTCAATGTCTGTTGAAACGTCATGCACATGTAGATGTGTAGTTAGGAGCACAGCCATAGTGCACCAGCACAGGTGCTATAATTAGCAGGTGCTTCGGTGCTTCCATAGGATGCTGATGCAAGCCACGCCTCTCCCCGCGCGCAGCATCCTCGTCTCGTGACGTCATGACAGCAGCATCAGCTGTTAGCTGCGCTTTAAGCCTTTTCGCTGCCGATAGCTGCCTGTTCAAAGGAAATATATGAGATCCCCTCTAATCCCTGAAATGGCGACACAGGAGGTACAGCTGAATGAGACCCTGACCCACCTTAAAAGCGAGTCCGAGACGCTCAAGTCGAAGCTGGAGGAGGAAAGAGCCAAGCTGCACGATGTCGAGTGTGAGTGTTGAAAATGGAGAGGGCCTCTTCCCCTGCCTTACGCTGAAGGGACAAACACGTCTTCAATCATGGTTACATTTATGTGTCTTTGACTGTAAATATACTGTACTGTTGCATCGCGTTTTCCTCGGTGGCTACACCGAGGAAAACGGGTATTTTTGCTTTCGGATTTTATAGCCCACTGCATCCATCTTTCTATGTAGTAGTTTCACCATTCACAACTGAGCGAAGCGGCTGTATTTATAATTACGTAAACTCTGAAAATGGCGGTATTTTGGTCTGTTTGGGGTTTACTTAAGGACATGTCGGATTAAGAGAAGAGCATATTCCAGTGTATTTCCACAGCCCCCTATCAGATTAATCCTCATTGCTGTAGAAATCACAACCAGGGGAGATTATAATGCAAATGTTGTGTGAACAGTACATCAGGTGGCAGAGAAAGTGGAAGGCCTGGGTCAGTTTGTGATGAAGACCAGACGGACTCTGAAGGGACATGGAAACAAAGTCCTGTGCATGGACTGGTGTAAGGATAAGAGGAGGATTGTCAGCTCCTCTCAGGTACTTCATACATGCCAGATTTAATGCACTCTAAATATAGCATTTCCAGCAATAAACTTACAGTGTGTATTGTCTGTACTGCAGGATGGAAAAGTGATTGTCTGGGATGCTTTTACCACGAATAAGGTGATGATCCTACAGCAGCAAAACACACTTAAGGCATTTTCACATCGCAATTTTAGTTTGTTAGTTCTTGCTCCTATTTATCTGTTTTATTTGAATGATATAGTGCACATTCATCAACGTGTGTCTATGTAAATATGCCAGATTTAGCCATGAAGTCTAGTTTATGGCTAAATCTGGCATAGTCTAGTCTAGTCTAGTCTAGTGAAGTCTGTGTTGTCCCATGGCAGATTGTAGTTACAGCCATCAGCAAACAAACAGGGCAATAGTTATTAAAAGCCACATACAATCCTAAAAAGCACACATTCCAGCAACAAGGGAATTAAGCCAGACTTTGGGCACGTTCTCTTACAAAAACTTTTTTTAGGTGTGTGTTTTGACTGCAGAATGCATCGCAAGACCTGAGTCTATATATAAATGATCTTGTGCATCAGTAATGTTTGTAGAGTAGAATTTGACTTTTTGACCCGCCTATATCGTAACTTTAAAATGATTGAATACGATTCAATACTCAATAATATTGTTTAGGATATGCGCAGATTTTTCACATTCTCAACAATGTATCTGTTTTTTTGTTTTTAGTTTTTTTAGGATGAAGATTAAGAGATCCCTTATTCGTCCCACAGTGGGGAAAACAGACCGTAGTTATGAGAAGCACACAACACAAATTAAATGAATAATAACTCTAGCATGAAAAGCGGTATAAAATCTATCTTTAGTGTTATAAGGGGAGAAGTCTAAAATCTCCAACTTAAGCATGATGAAGAAGCAAAATATATAAAAATACTGTATATTCCAGAGTTAATGAAATATATGTGTGTGTATACATCTGTACATGTTCGCAGCATGAGGGAATATTCTTCATCTATATATCAGACATTAGTTCAGTTTAAGGCACAGAAGCACTGAGCAAGAAATATGAGGTCCGGTCGAATGTGTTTATTAGTCCTCATTGTTCATTGTACAGTCTGGCAGCAGCCGGAAGGAACAAAGAAGCCTCTTAGTTGGATTTTGTTGATAAAGTTTGCCTGTTTTGTAGGAGCACGCTGTGACAATGCCTTGCACGTGGGTTATGGCCTGTGCCTACGCTCCTTCTGGCTGCGCTGTAGCTTGTGGGTGAGTGCTACTACTACCACCTAAACGTGTTTCTTTGGTTGTGTTGTTGATTAAAAAAGAGCTTTGTGTGTTTATGCAGTGGTCTGGATAACAAATGCTCGGTGTATCCTCTGTCCCTGGATAAAAATGAAAACCTGGCAGCAAAGAAGAAATCGGTGGCAATGCACACAAACTACTTGTCAGCCTGTAGCTTCACCAACTCTGACATGCAGGTGAGTTTTCCGCTTTTGTAAATATTGTGTGCACTCAAATGTGTACAGTGAACTCCAGGTTAGGTTCATTTTCTAGAATTTTATTTCAGTTGGAGGGTCTTACAAAATGTTGAAATTAAATGTTGAAAAGGAAAATGTCTGTTATCCAAAAATGATTTTTTGACTGTGATTAGATTTACACAACTGACATATTATTCTTACGTCTGAAAGTATTTCCTTGTGGCCGACAACCTGCATATTTTTGAATATTGTGACCACTTATTTGGTATTTTATGAGTTGATAACAAGACCATAGTTAAACTGTTGGTCAAAGTACCCAACTTTTTTGACAAGAATTACAGATACATTTAAGTCTGACTTTTGATAGTTACAAGACAAGATTTTCATCTGCCTTTGACCACAATTTAGTACTATGAGTATTATGATGTCACATGAACGTACTGATTCAGGTCATAAAAGAGGATCGCATTTCACTTTAAGTTCAATATGTCCCCTACTTCCAGATCACATGGCATTTACACAGCCAAAGTAATCCATTTAAAGCTGTATCGACTTCCCTCTTAACTTAAAAGGCATCCATTTCCTGTGTTAAAGATCCTGACTTCCAGCGGGGATGGGACCTGTGCCTTGTGGGACGTGGAGAGTGGGCAGCTGCTGCAGAGCTTTCATGGACACGCAGCCGATGTCCTCTGCTTGGATCTGGCACCCTCTGAAACTGGCAACACATTTGTCTCTGGGGTATAGGATCCTCATTTCACTTTTCCTTATGCAATATTTGAATTATGAAATGCATTGTGTGGTTTTTTTTGCCTCTGCAGGGCTGCGATAAGAAGGCCAACGTGTGGGACATGCGCTCTGGACAGTGCATCCAGTCGTTTGAGACTCACGAATCCGACATCAACAGCGTACGGTGAGTGATTTGAACAAAATATGCTGTGCCTTTCTGTTGGATTAAGATTAAGAGATCCTTTTTTCGTCCCACAGTGGGGAAATTTCAGTATTGCATCACCGGTTACAGAACAGTAGGAATGAGGAGCACACAACACAAGATAAATGAACAATAACTCTATACTAAAATAAAATAAAATCTTCATTAACACATGAAGGAGGCAAATCTGAAATCTCTTCAGTTACACACGTTATTTGGAAGTGTGAGATTCTGTAGGAATTGGACATAACTGTCAAAGATTGCCCTAAATATATTATCAGTTGAATCACAAATACCACTACAATCTGTTGACCAGCAAATTTTGTTTAATTGACTGTTTTTGTTGTTTAACTTTATACCCTTTTCAAGAGTGATTGTATATTCTGTATATTTAAATATAAATTATTAATTTATTGAGTTCAACATTAACTTGAGTTCTGTGTTTAGTATGTCGTAAGTAAACTGTTTTATAGAATGTATGCCTGTGACCTTTAACAGATACTATCCCAGTGGAGACGCATTTGCCTCTGGATCCGATGATGCCACAGTATGTATTAGTCAGACACACATTAGAGTTACATGGTACATTTGATTGTTTTAATTCTACTCTATCCTTTGCAGTGCCGGCTTTATGACCTAAGAGCTGACAGGGAAGTGGCCATTTATTCCAAAGAAAGTATCATATTTGGAGTTTCCAGTGTTGACTTTTCTCTAAGTGGTAAGAGACACTAACGTCGTCATATTCAACAATAAATAAAAAATTAACAAGAGTATGAGTATTGATACATTTTGTAACTTCTTCACAGGAAGGTTACTGTTTGGTGGTTATAATGACTACACCATAAATGTTTGGGACGTCCTTAAAGGAACTCGAGTTTCCATCCTGTTTGGACACGAGAACCGTGTGAGCACACTTCGAGTTTCCCCTGATGGGACTGCCTTCTGCACCGGCTCCTGGGACCACACTCTGAGGGTAAGGATAACTCCCTATTGTTCACCACACAACAGGTATTACTTTAACAACGTTGACAGGTGATAGAAATGTCTTCATATAAACATAATATAATGCTGTGTGTTTGGAAGTTCTTTTTAATGGAGCTGCAAATTGGTGGTGGTTGCTCAAGGAGTTCAATTCCCCCTTTTGAAAAATTGAAAAATCCAAGAATTTTTGAACACGACTGCTGGTAACTAGCTACCTGGTAACTATTATGCACCGCAACATTGTTTTCAGGCCAAAAAGATCAACTAAAACCTTGAATTCAGTGAAATTTGGATTGCGGCTGTTAATGTATTGGTTGATGTAGATCTTGTGTTAATTGCTCACAAAATGGCTGATCATCTCCAAAAAGGTTTTCCCTATTAGTTTTTTCCCCCCTGCAATCCCTATGGGAGCAATGCATAAATGTTTTATTTGTGGAACCAGGAAGTGGGCAGGAACGTTGCAGCGCCATAGTGAGAGTTGTGATCATACATTTGTGTTTACCAGGTTGTTAAACTTGTAACCTTTTTAATGTATTATAATTCTTATCAATTTCTTTTTTTTCAGATTTGGGCTTAAAGAAGCAAGACACACAGCTATTTAGATCTAGTGACAAGTCAGCATTTCAGTTTGCTAGAGTACAATCACTGACATGGAGACTTCTGGTTGTACATAGAGCGTATCAATATCAAAGTGTATATACTAGAGCCAGGGCAGACGTGACATCCCTGCTGCGAAAGATATTAAACCTGATGGCACGTTTGTGTTTGAACATATTGAAAGAACATTGCACAATACGTATATAGTTAAATATAATTATGTAAAATATATATTGTAGAAAATATCACTGGTAGTGAATATTGTCAATCTAGATTAGAAATGACACAATTAAGTGATGTATTCACCTACCTGAAGGGGAAAGTATTATATTTGATTGGTTATGGTTTAAAACAAAATACACATATTAAGAGATTTATATTAATTTAAAAGACAATGGTGCATATTTAGTTTTAGATTATTTAAAGTGGGTGTACAATTGGGTGAAAATTTAATTATATAATTCATATTGTTTACAAAAAATATGGCTTGAATCATTCCAGCACAAAGCACATTTAATGGTAAACCAAAATTACTGATTGATTTGAACGTAACATTATGTTGACCTTTAATCTGGTTCAGCTGTTGTTTACAAGTTGATGTCCATTTTCAGACTGATACTACACAGTCTGAGGAAAAAAGAAATGAATTAGAATGTGCTCATTGTGCAGTTTGTCTAATGGCTGTTATTTTCTACTGTATTTATTTATTGTAGTTTAGTGTACAGTTCAATGACACTGGTAAAGAAAGTAATCATAATAAAGATTTTGAATATCATTCCTGCTGTTTGTTCTATTTTGTTGTCTTGATTATTTATTTATGTTCATAGACTGTTAAATGTATATTCCTCTTACTACATGATCTATGCCATAGATCAGATCCAGGCCCAGGGACAACAGCTGCCCCGATCCACATTTCTATCCAGCCCCCGAACTATTTCCAGTTGTTAACTTCAAACTGGTTTGTTCCTGATTTTACATGAATCAGGAGTCAATACTTAATGAAGACTTGAATTAATATGTGTCACAATTGGCATGTTATACATTTATTATGTTCTCAATGATGAATCCAACATGTTATTGGTAATAAAAATGGAGAATATTAGTCACAAAAAATGCCAGTAATATATGTCTTTACATTTTAATATTAAAGTAGCTTTTTGCTGAATAGAAAGAAAATAATTGCCCACCCCTGCCTAGATCTATGCGTGTAAACAAAAAATGTAGTTTCTTCTCTTCTCGAAGTCTTTATTTTTATTGAAATAGCATAAATTAACAAAAATAAACCTCAAGAAAAACACACCGAACGAACACAAAAACAAACAACACTTTACATTACACGCAATTGTTTAGTTTTGTCAATAAAATGTTAAAGACGGAAGTGACATGTCGGCAAGTAGGAAGTAGCCGAATCAAAACAATGACCGAAAGGCGGCTTTCGTTTCACGCTTGTATTTTCTCATAACTTGCACTGGGTAACTTGTGTCACTGAAGTCACACTTGTAGAAAATGGATAGATAATTAAATATTAACAATTTAGATGTGACACTCATCTGCAAGGCCTGGTTGAGATCCAGAAATGAGTGATGTTGTGGAGAAAACACTGACGGCTCTTCCAAGCCTCCTCTCTCTGGACTCACAAACTGTAGCTACTAAACTCTCCTCCACGTCCAAACTCGGGGCCCTGATCAGAGGAATCACCGAACTCCGGTCTAAACATGTGAGTAGGACATGTGATCGTGTGTTAAATGTTGAATTAATAACACTAAGGTTAATCTGGGATACTTGACATTTGAAGTAGTTGTCAACCTTTTTTGATGGGCTGATTAAAACACACTGTAATCGTGTGTTGTCTTCAATTATCATTCAACTATATTAGTAAACGATTGACTGTCAACTGCACAATACTATATACAGACTCCAACTCCAATGTGCTGGGAGAGGTGATTTTAATACTCAAACTATAAGTTGCATTGGTTTGTCGTCCTCCAGTGGTTTCACTTTACTTGCATCTAGGTCAAACTGAGAATATCATATTTCTCTTATAAATAAGAAATGTATTATTAGAAAGAGTAATTGCACGGTAAACAATCAAAATAAACCAATACTGATTTATCCTTTATTAACTACAGAGAAAGTGTGCAATGCATACATTATTACAATAGTTATAACACTATGATTTGCAGTTTTACATGAGCTCGAGTATCCAAGTTATGACAGTGCAGTATGTTGTTTATAACGTTATGCTTTCAGGGAAACTCACACTCAAAGATACTCAAGATGTGATTATGATTTTGAAAAAAAAAAAAAAAAAAAAAAAAAAACACTTGTCTGTTTTGTTGTTTACAATAACATTTAGACTACTTCTTTCCATCAGGAAGAAGAAAAACTTATTCAGCGTGAACTTGCTTCCCTCAAAGATCAAGTGTCATCCCCTCACACATCTATGGTATGGGAGTACTTTTAACACATTGTATATTATTTTAGGCTCAAAGGGAGAACGTTTGTTTTTTCATCTGTTGCAGAGACAAATGAAAGAGGCTATGGTTAGAGCCATCTATTGTGAAATGCTTGGCTACGAAGCTTCATTCAGTTACATTCATGCGATAAAATTAGCTCAACAAGGCAGTATCTTGGATAAAAGAGTTGGTATGTTCAACTGTGTTTAATTGCTTTACTCTCACCAAAATGTTATGTTTCATACCCATCTCAAATCCAATATTTTTAGGTTATTTAGCTGTGTGCTTGTTTCTAAAAGAGAATCATGAGCTGCTTCTTCTTCTCGTGAACACTGTTCTTAAAGTGAGTTTTCTATTTTGTCATATCAATAATGATGAGTTAATGTCTCATTAACATAGCACATGGTGTTTACAGGATCTTCAGAGCACTAATCTGATTGAAGTGTGCATGGCTCTGACAGTAGTCAGTCAGATGTTTCCCAAAGACATGATTCCTGCAATACTCCCTCTGGTGGAAGAGAAGCTAAATCATTCAAAGTAATTTCCATTTATACAAGTATTACTTTCAGAATTATGTTTTTGTCTAACTTTTTTTTCTTTTCAGAGAAATTATAAGACGAAAAGCTGTTCTTGCTTTGTACAAGTTCTATGTAATGGCACCAAATCAGGTGCAACACATCCACAACAAGTTTCGCAAGGCATTATGTGACAAAGACCCAGGAGTGATGTTTGCCTCCCTTCACATTTACCTACAGATGATCAAGGTCTGCCTTTGGTTTCTCATCATTTTATAATATTGTGGGGTTTTTTCTTCAATTGATTTCTTCAATAGATTTCTTTGTCTATTACAGGATAATCCTGAGGGTTATAAGGACCTGACTGGCAGTTTTGTCACCATCTTGAAGCAGGTGGTGAGTGGGAAATTGCCCATGGATTTTAACTACCACACTGTCCCTGCCCCATGGCTGCAAATCCAGCTTCTAAGAATTCTGTCCATTCTTGGGAAGAATGATAAGCATTCTAGTGAAATCATGTATGAAGTATTGGACGAGTCCTTGAAAAGAGCTGAAATCAACCATAATATAACTTATGGTCAGTTTTAGCTGAAATATTTGCTTGTGGATTACATTTCTACATGTGATGATTGATTTATCTTTGTTTTTTTTCGCAGCAATATTATATGAATGTGTGAAATGCATTTATACAATTTATCCCAACTCTGATCTCCATGAAAAAGCTGCAAAATGCATTGGAAACTTTGTTATTTCATCAAAGATTAATTTGAAATATCTTGGTAAGTTTTTAGATATAGTTTAGTACTGGAGTATGTTTATGGTTCCATGAACATAAAGTGTTCATTCCTGGGAAACCACACAAAGAAATGTAATACATTCGTTCTTGCAGGATTGAAAGCTCTAACTTTTGTCATCCAGCAAGATCCTAAACTGGCCCTGCAGCATCAAATGACCATCATCGAGTGTCTCGACCATCCGGACATACTTATAAAGCGGGAGGTAAGATCTGACTGTTTGACCTGACTGTCAACAGATGCATGTATTTATTTTCATTTTGCTGATTTTCAGACCCTGGAGTTGCTTTTTCGGATTACCAACGCCCAGAATGTCACTGTTATTGTTGAAAAAATGTTAGAGTTTTTGCATCAAAGCAAAGATGATTATACGACTATCGACCTGGTGGGAAAAGTTGCAGAAATAGCAGAAAAATATCCTTTTAGAAAATATGATATTTAAGGTTTCTAGTTTGTCAAGAAAAAAAAAAGCATTTTTCCTATAAACATTTTCTACATATGCGCCGGAGAATAAATGGTTCATCGAAACCATGAACACAGTCTTTTCTTTGGGTGGAGACATGATTCAGGCCGATATTCCCAACAGCTTCCTCAAACTGCTCTCTGAAGGTAGGCAGACTTACTGCTGACAACCTGGCTTCATACATGTACATTTAATGCTATTCTTCTTGGTTTATTTTGTTCTCACAGGATTTGACAATGAAGAAGAAAACAAGAAGTTGAGACTATTTGCTGTTGATTCTTATGTTTCGTTGCTTGAAGGAGAAACTCGCAAACTACCTCAGCGGTTCCTGCAAGTTATAGCATGGGTTAGCACTATTTATAGATTTAATTTACAAAAGAGAAGGAGAAAACGTGATGATCTTGTCAGATACTCTACATGGTAAGATGTTCTTGGTTTGAATTCTTATGTATTATGATTTCCTTCCACAGGTACTCGGGGAATATTCTCATTTAAGAACGGATCTTGACCCAGCAAAAGTCATGACCCTTCTTTCTAAACTACTCGACATTAGACAAATAAGCAGTGAAACAAAGACCTGGGTCCTCATGGCAATGACAAAGCTTTGCTCTGGAGAGGCCAGTATTTCAAAAGCTCAATCAGTTTGTGAGGATTACAGAAGCTCTTCGGACACAGTGCTGAGACAGAGGGCTCATGAACTGCAGCTGCTCAGTCAAGACCCCGCTCTGCGAGGCCAACTACTGCCCCTGCACAGAGGCTCTGAGACACTCGAGGTGTGAATCTGTCATTTATATCATTTTTTTATAACCAATTCAAAATTAAAGAATCCTTAACTCTAACAAGAAAGCAAAGCCGAATGAGCCTCACACGAGTTTCTGGAACTGGTGGATTTAATGACTGGTTATTTTAGCCCTCACTGAATTAACCATGATTAATCAGCTGGCCATTGTATTAACCTTTTAAACCAGTAAGACTACAAACTACATACATATATTATATATAATGATTATATATACATTTATTTTTTGTTTAACAAGCTTGATCAAATCTTATTCTTGCAATACTTTTTTTTAATATGCTTCAACCTTATTTTATGAAGGCTTTTTTTCATGTTATATAATGTGCGACCCTGTTCTGTTGTATAAAACAATTATACTTCTTTGTATGTCTTCTGTATGAATCATGACTCATGTTTTATTTTACCACAAAAGCTTATTCTTCAGATTGTATTTGCTCTTTTCAAAACATCAAATGCTGGGTGTAATATTATACTTGGTGGTTTCCAGGTGGATTTCTCTTTGTCGTTTTTGGATGCATTTGTGTCAGAGGCTTTAGCAGCTGGAGCTGCTCCATACAAACCTCCCCATCAAAGGCACGAGGAGCTTGCTCAGGAAAAGGGTATGATACAAAAACCATTCATGCTGTAACAGATCTGAAGATGTGTCTTCAGGCATGTTTTGATTTGCTGTGAATGTGGGTCTTGTGGTGTTTGCTGCAGCTCTGAGCCTGGAGCCCTATGAGCTGTCTTTGCCCATCAACATGTCGTCCTACAGTGTGTCAGGCAGACAGTCTCCCACTCTCATGTCCGGGAGCTCTGGTTTATCAGGGGACAGCACCGAGCTCTCAGCCAAAGGAAGGTGGGTTTAGACAAGAATATCTATAGTGTTTCAGCTCCATTATAGATATATTCTCCCACCTATAACAACAGCAAATCAATCCCTCAGCAAGCATATAGAAATAAGGGTATTCATTTACACATTATTTACAAGAACATTTTTGTGTATTCATTTTTTGAATTTTAGTTCGGCCACATTGAAGCTGGAAGGGGTGAAGCGAGTGTGGGGAAAGGAAGGATATCTGTCAAAGGAGGATCCCGTTGAAGAAGTCGCCCAGGTTGAAACGCTCAGTCCACTCAGTTCACCCAATCAGCCTCCAGGTGCAGGCAGGACTCTGAGTAACGCAGCGGCACCCAGCGAAACCCCCGAACCTCAGCAGGAGAAACTGCAACTGGCTTCTTCTCTGTTTGTTGGCCTCAGCTTGCAAACGTCAGTGTGCCTGGTGAGAGAAGCTAAGGGAATTGGCATTCAAGTTTAATTTAGTAGATATTATGTTCAGATTTAAATGGAGAAAATCTTGATGTGTTTTAGAATATATAAAGAAATGTTGCCGGCAATTCCAAAATGCCTATAGTTTAACTTTGTTGTTGAGGGCTGTTGTAAGAGCTGGTAAATATAAAAAGTCATAGTTTATAGCATTTATCTGTATTTGCTAGGTCAATCCACACAAAACAAAACCTGTCACACAGTTTCATATCTGTGTTGTCAATAGTTCAAAAAACGTGCATGATGTGGCTGATTTGTAAATTGTGAAACATTTGGACGTTTTCTTTTTAACATTCTATCTTACATTATCTTTCTCATATAATTGTATTGGCTCCTGCCCTACAACTGAAAATAATTCTAGAGCATGATTGCAATCTATTCAATGTATGTGTTGCAGTTATGTGTTTTATTTTAAAATGTGTTTATTTTTGCAGATGGGACAGCCTGAGCCCACAGCACAAAGATTTAGAAGGAAAGCCAAAACTCCAAACTCCTCTTCTTCAGCTCTACCTGAGAGAGTGTCTGTGGCCCCTGTTCCCACCTCCTCTGTAGACAACATGCTTAGTCACGACCCACTAGAGGCGACCAGCATGCTCCCCGAAGTTACTCATGAGACCATTTTGCCTCCCAACACCGAAGTCAACGCTCTCCTTATAGACACTGCCAATTCTTCCCCGAGTCCGAGTAATGGTGTGGAAATTCCTTTTGAAACCTCTGAAAATGAAATTGCCAAAACTCCCAAACATGAGTGTCCTGTTCGAAGTCTCCCTCCAGATCTCTTAGGACTGCCCCATACCAAAATCACCAGTCTGTGTTCGAGCCAGACCCTGGATGTGTCTGCCTGTCATGTGGAGAAAGACGATAGTGTTTCGTTACTCATTTTTACCTCAAACTTATCAGACAGTGATATGGAGAACATACATTTCTCCTTCAGCACTGAACAGCTCCAGGTAAGCCATGGTTGGGGTATTCTCTATTCATCGATGTTTTTATTAAGATTTGTTTTGTAGGTATCATTATCGTCTGAGAGGCCGCTCCATGAGATTCTAAAGCACAGCAATGCGGTGTGTGAATACTCTCTGACCGTACACGCGCCTGCAATTCATTTTCAAATGGTGGGAACGCTTTCCTATGAGTCTTCATCACAGAGTCGGGAAATGGAGTTTTCATACAAACTCCCTTTAAGTAGTTTTATCAGGTATTCCGTTTAATATGTTTGACCTCAAAGTGAAAACAAAGAGTATAATTAATAATACGTTTGTTTGTTTGTTTTTTAAGGCCGTTGGTGATATCAACAGAGCAGTATGGGACACATTGGTTGGACTTCTCTAATGACACAAAGCAGAACCTTGCACTGGTCTCTGAGGGGCAGGACCCTCTGACGGATACACTGAATATACTGAAGAGGAAACTTGGTCTACATGTTGTTGAAGTTATTGGTAATTGGTTCACTTGACTTACTTGTATTCAACAAACTCATCTTGCTCAAGGAATAAAAGATACTAACCTCCCCCTCAGTCAGTTGTGAGGTGAGGCCTAGAAGCTTAATTTAATTGGGGGGAGGAGGGAGGGCTTTTATACTAATAATGTAGAATGATCACACTAAGGCATATACAGAATGATACAACTTTATATTCCATTTCAAAATCTTATTGTGATATTTTCCTCATTCCAAGTTAGCATATTATTTTACAGTTTGAGTACCTAAATTTCCAGCCAAATTATGTAATCAAATCCATCTAACTAGATCCTCACTCTCAACTTTATATCAGCTTATTCAAATCGTGACTCACATGGCTCCTCGAAAGATAAAACATTTTTTAGGGCTGATGTTAGCAAAAATAAACACACAAATAGAATATAGACTCTTTTGGGATGGTGTGGAATTTCTGCACAGGCCGAGAGCATAAACAAGGAAGACAACCACGGGCTGCAATACAATCAAAGTAATCAAAGTGTGAGTTTATTTATTCGTAAATGCGCACATATACAATGGAAAAGGAACCCATAGCACATGGCAGCAATCTGAAATCGTCTGTGTTCTGAATCAGGAAATGACTAGACTCTAAATAGACAAGAGTAAACTAAGACATATCTGCTCTAGACATATAACAATTAAGTGAGGTGTGCGGTTCAAGGCTTGTCTTTACGCCTCCAAACGCTACACTCTGACATGTAAAAACAATCTGTTCTGTCCTGGACAAATTGTTCTTTAACACAGATACTGCCAAAGACATGTTACAATACGACTCCCATCTAACAGATTATATGTGCTGTATTTGAATAAGGGTTAGTTAATAGCTTAATCTTTAACTAGTTGATGTTGATTCAGATTTCTTTACTGTAAGATTAGTATAACCGGGGAAAACAACATGCATAGTTAGGTACCCATCTTTTACCAGCAGCCAACTCATCTTGGCCATTTAAATCATGTGTTGTTATTATGATTTTATTTAATTTTTAAAAATTTGGTTTGCTTTTCCACAGGCTTAGAAGGTATAGCGGCCTGCAGACTGGCCCAGGATCAGCCCTGCCTGCTGCACTGTCGTGTTAACGCTGGGACACTGGCTGTTTGGCTGCGCTCCCCTGTCCCCAAGCTGCCGGACTGCCTCCTGTACCACTGTCAGAGGGTTTTAGAGGAGACCTAGGATTCTCCACTGCCTCAATGAACTCTAGACTCCACACTGCTGCAAAGGCAGGTACCAGAACATGGGCTCAGTATTTTGCATTGGGGCAGAAGAGCATTTAGCATTTCAGTTTATAGATTTGCTTTACTATTGCCGAATGAAGGTTTTTACAATCGTCTAAGCCTGTCATATTTGTGTGGGTTGAACAATGTGTAATTGCAAAACAATGCAAATGATGTCTTTTTGTTTCATCCATTATTGTTTCATTTTTAAAGTCTTAATAGCAGGTTCCTATAAGGGAGAAAGCATGAAAACTGACCCATGATATACTTTCAGTTATAACTCAGACGTCTACATTTTGTAAATGTTTACGCTATGTTTTTATTACTTCAAAGTCAACACTACGAGCGCTGAAAGGCTTCTCTGTGTTACAACGGCATCTATGCATTTTTGTCCAGTGTTTTCATAGATTTGGATGTCTGATTTTAGGCAGTATTGAGGGAAAATATTTATTGCATTAATATTATTGAACAATTGATTTCCCCTGCAATGTTATGTACTGTCTTTGTTTGTGTTTTACTTAAACTCAAGGGAATGCTCAATCTTTTCTTGGTGCCCTAATGCTAAGCACAGCATTAAAGTATATTTTGTATTACCTGGACGCCTTATTGTTCCAGTGCAGAGCTGGTATGTTTGAGTTGTGCCTATGTACAAAGAGAACGCTAGTGTCACAGTGCCTGTCACTACATACGGCTAAATAATGAAATAATAATAAACCTTACAAAGAAAACAACGTTGCTTTTTATTCAGAGCATTGGTGTTCCAGTAAGAGGGTGAAATCAGACCTAAGGTGAGCAGCTACAATTACAAGTACTAGGATTGTTTTTTCAATATTTGCTTTTAGTAATTTCAACAATTTCAAATAATTTGAAATAGGAAAATATTAATTGGAGAATCCATCTTTGCAGGACAGCAGCTTCTCACTTTTGTTTTCACTTTGTCTTGGGATGAATCTCATGGCCAGGCTTTGCTCGTCTTCCACTGGCTGCTGCGACAGGTTGTTGGTTTGCCGAATGCTGTTGATGGTGCAGCCCTTTCGAGGACAGACTGTGTAACGGGACAACAGAGTGACCAGGATGGCCTTCATCATCACCATGGCGATGTGTTTGCCTACACATGAGCGGGGTCCACAACCAAAAGGCTGAAAGTAACGGTTAGGCACCTGCCGGGCACAGTAACTATTAGGGCTGCTATATTTTCAATATAGCTGCAAAATAATACACATTTAGAAACACTACACTTTTACCACATTAAAGGTGCATTATTTGACTTTTTATGTGATATAATCCTATTGTTGTGTTTTTGACCTTGTAACCGAGTGGCTGTATGAGTGGGGATCATAGTGCCTTTACTTTTGATCACGGTTGTGTCTGAATTGCTCCAGGATCAATCATTTTTATAGGGTTTTCTGGTGCGGGGGTCAGAGAAACTTTAAAGAATTGATCCTAGAGTTTTTTTATGTGTATATATATTGTGTTTTTATTTTGCTTTTCACTGTCCGTACAGCACTTGGGTAATCCTTTATCTGTTTTAAATGTGCTCTACAAATAAAGATTTGATTGATTCATTGATAGAGCTTCCTACAGACCACTGTGGTGGAAAGTAAAGGCACCATGCTGACCACTCAACAAAAACATAATGAAAGTAGATTATGATATTGTAGCCATATAATCAGCCCAAACACAAAATCTTCCCAGGATGAAGACATTGAGCCGATAGCCACCCAAACATGTGCATGCTAATATTATGCGTACAACAGGGTGTCCAAACCGGTCCAGAAAGGGCCGCTGTGGCTGCAGGTTTTCTATCAGACCCAGCAGGAGCAGAGCAGACTCCTCCCATTTCCTCAAATCTTCAGATTAAGACTGAACTCACTTGAGGAAATGGGTGGAGTCTGCTCTGCTCTTGCTGGGTCTGATAGAAAATCTGCAGCCACAGCGGCCCTTTCTGGACCGGTTTGGACACCTCTAGTCACATGAATTACCGTTTTTTCAAAGTTGTCCAGGCAAAAGTCACTCGGGTGCAAGAAATATTCAGTTTTATGCATTAGACCAATGTTGAGAATGATGTTGGTTCCTTTTTTTATTATGATCCCATCAATGTTATCATCTTCCAGAGCTTTTCTCATTGTAAAGTCAACCACTGGGTGGAACCTCATGGACTCATTTATGAATCTCTCCAACACCTTCAGGTTTTGATGCTGAATATTTTCAGCACCATCTTCACCTGCAATCACACATGCAATAATGAAAATGTTAAATGTGCTGGACTGCTAATGTGGACATGTTTACATGTCTTTAAACTTGTACCTAAAACTTCTTTCATCTCCTCTACGATGCTGCTCTCGACTCCAGGGTTCTGCTTGAGCAGCATGAGCATGAAGAAGAGGGTGATGGAGAGAGTGTCCGGGGCTGCGATCACCATCTCCAGCACACACTGCCGGACGTTGTCTGGTGACAGCTCCCCGTGGTTCTAATCAACATGAAAGGTATTGTCAAAACCTCTTTTTATTTAGATTAACTAAGTGTACACACCTGAGCAAAAAGAAGCTCTGTGGCAAAGTCAAGGTCATCATCCAACTTTTCCGATTCATTTATCATTTTCTTTTTCATCTCAAGTAGACTCTGCATGACATCTTGCAGCTCTTGTCTACAGAAAGCACAATAAACCTGCTGCACATATGTTTGTAATAGCAGTTTCTGTAACTTACGCTGACTTCTTGTGCTTGTTGTAAAGCCATCCAATCTTGAAAAAGATATCAGGTTTAATCAGGACAGTCTGCCAGGTGTCAAAGTAGTTATGGATTTTCAGTAGCAGCTGTTTTTCTAAATAATTAACAAGAAAAATATGTTTAATTTACATATGTCACTGATGTAAACACACTATATGTAGGAGACACTTTAGTAATAAAAGTATATTTTCACTTTGAATTGTAGCACTATGAATAAGTAAAGTACGAGCTGACCATTCAGAGGAACCCCGAGGAAAAGCTTGTTGGAGATGTCGACCACGATGGCCCTGAGCAGATTGAGAGCGTCCACATGACCAGACGGGCCGGTGACCTCGTGGAGGTTGTCCAAATGTTTGGTTGTAGAGTTTACGCAGATAGATACTGTCCTCTGGAGGCCTGGTCCCGTCAGAGCTGGGCCATGCATATAATAAGGGTGCAATAGCGAAAGATTACAAAGGATCCAATCACCCTTTTCTCTGGACTTTTATTAGATTTTTGCAATTTCTTACCTTTAGAAAAGTACATTCTAACTTTTTTCCACAGAGGTACATCACTATTGAAGATGATGCCCCTTCCTTCCATGCCAATGGTCTCTAACCCCTTTTTGCTTCCAAATCTTGCTGTGTAGTGAGGACTTCTCAAAATGTGGTATACTGCAGATGACCTATGATGGAAAAAAACATGTAAATACAGTTAATGTATTTATTTTCATGCATTTCAGTTGATACGGTTCGGTAAATAAAAATGAACTTACTTGCTAATAATCAATGTCTCCTCACCATTGATCCAGACTCTCACTATGTTGCCATATTTGTTATTGTAATAGTTGCATGCTGTTCCTATGCCAGTCCAAATAAATCGGGCATAAGAGAGAAGTGGACCGAGTCCAAAAAAGAAATGAGGTCCTTCAACATAAAAGATTGTTGTCACAACCTTTAGTCAATAAGTATTTTGTTGCATGAATCGTGGCTGACCTGGTAAATAGGAGCTGTGCGTCCGGCTCCAAGCTGTTATCAAAAGGATCAAAAGCAGAAAAAGCAGAAACCCAGTAACCTCAGTCATTGAATCCACTGCCATCAAACGGCAGAATGGTTGCAGAAAAATCTCCATGTTACAAACTAAAATTCAGAAATAAGACTCAGCATCAGCTTCTCCAAACCTCACCACTCACACAGAAGGACCACTCAGTGTCAAGTTTAGGAAGGTAAAATCATGACATGGATGTGGCACAAACATTTTCACCAATTATAAAATAGGAAAAAGGAAATTGAATAAATATCTAAGTTAAGACAAGTAATTACATTAAGCATTAAATATTTAAATAAAAAAGTGTGATGTTACAACATACAGTATAATATTTCTCATGAAATTGCTCTAAATATTGGAAATCCTTACTTTACCTTCGTTCCAGTTGAGCTTGGAGAGATCACTGAGTTGCAGATGAGGATTTACCTTCCAAAAGCATCATGCCCCATTTATAAATCCTTGGTTAAACCTTCACTTTGGTGGTTGCCTGGAAACTGCACCCTCTGGGGTGACAAGTACAAACCCATGGCACAGCATTGCTCAGACAAAATAACCAAGATAGAAAAAAAAAAAAACTACAGACTCGTCAGTCAAAGTGCTTGTCTAGTACATCTTTTCATTAAACTTATTGCACATTGCTTGGTTCAATAGAAAGAATGCCCTCCACCCATTTCCTCAAGCGTGGAGTCCTTTCAAGGGGAAATTAGCTGGGTCAGACTGACCTGTCCTAAAAGGAACCTGGGATTTGGCCATTGTGAACAAGTGTTGTTTTTTTTCTCTGGCCAAATGGGGTCTAAAACCCATTAGTCCCTTATTGATTCATACAGCAAACAATTGTGTACAAATTCCCTTGACAGTTGGTTCATTCCATGAATTTATTTCAAATTATTATTTAGTATAACTTCTTGTCATTGAGTAAATTAACATTTGTTTTCTCTGTTCTAGACTTATATACAATACTCCCAGAACTTGAGAATTACTTCTATATATTTTCTTTTTATAATATATTTGAGAGGACTATACATGTACATACACACATCCATGATTATGAAGAGACTGACGGTTGCCTAATAATAATGAACTATTGACATTGTTTGCATTCAATATAATTTGGTTCTCTAGCTGATTATCTTTTTATTATGCTTCTCACAAGTCTCTGGTTGCCAGGTTCTTTGGAGAAATCCAGCTGATATAATTCTCTCTCACCTTGGCGCCTACAACAACTAATGAACTGGAGGTAGAGGAGCAAAAAGGGCAGAAGACAGATGTGCAGTGGGTGTGAACGTTATCTTTCATGTCATTTATATTATTTATTGACATTATTAACAGATTGTGAATGTAGAAACGTTTTAACATGCAGGCCATTTATTAAGATTCAATTAAGTGCATTACTGGCCCAAACTAAAACTAGGCAAAACAGATGTTTGCACACACACACACACACACGCACACACACGCACACACACACACACACGCACATGCACACGCACACACGCACACACACACAAGCATGTACACACGCACAAACACACATATGCACACTCATACAAGCAGACACACACACTTATATACAAACACACATGCGCGCGCACACACATACACATGCACACAGACACACATAAAGACACACAGGCATTTATACACAGACATGTGCGCGCACAGACACGCACATGCATACAGACACACACACACGCACGTGTACAGACACACACATATAGACATACACACACACACACAATTAGCTGTTGCCATGAATGCCCCTTTTGTCTATTGCAATAATGGCATCTTTAATACCAACTAATTTATTCCACTTTCATATCTTTTTGCGTAGGATTTGTCTCCAGACGATGTCCTCAAGCCTCTGAATGCCATTCTGTAAACCCGTAATGAGAAGTCCTACACATTTTACCATATGTGGATTGTTGCGTAACATGTCAAGTGACTGGAGCAGACAGTTTTTGACAAGTTTTTTTCCTCTGCTGCAGCTTGCGTGTAGTTCCCCAGTGACGTCCCTACTGTTGGCATGTAATCAGATCTGTGCTGCGTGTGCTAGAGAAGCTCAGATCACTACGCAGTGGAGACCAGCAACATGAAGGAGGCAAAAGGAGTTTCAGCTCAACTTAAAGCCCTGCTACTCGCCCAGTGTATTCTGCTTCTGCTATGTTCTGCAGGCTTGGTCTACTTGCTGCAACAAAACAGAGAGATGACTGAGGATATGACCACACTGGAGGCCCAGGTGCAAGAATTGACCCAGAGGGTTTGGTCAGGAGTTCTAACCTTGGATCCAAAAGAGGCTCAAAAACTGAAAAAGGTCCAACGCAGCAGGAGAAGCCACAAGGGAGAACCGCCTCCCACCTCTGATAAGGATGAGGAGATGTTGATGCTGGTCACCTACTCCACTGTCCCGGTAAGGTGGCGATATGGATCTTTTTTTGCTATACATTTCATAATAGAGCCTTCCCTAAATAAATATAAATACAAAAAATACAATTTCAAACTAAATTATTATATTTTTTTATTCCGACCTCTCGATCCATTGCATGCCATAATTGTAATGCTATATTTCTTTTTTTTCTTCATGGAACATCAAATGCGCAATGTCAGGAATTTAGTTTGGTGCTAAATTCTTGGTGCTCTTAAGAAGAGCATGTGAGGAAACAGCTGAGAATGTTTCATAGAAAGCATCACTTGTCCGTAAACTATTTATCTATTTTAGAAATAACTTTTTTGAGCAATGATGTCAAAACTGCAGTGTGTTACATTTTCAGATCAAAGCTTTCATTGAGCTGTGTAACAATTCCAAAGGAATGTGCTTAACAGGTATTTTTAGGAATTATTTTATTAAACACATTTGTCTCAATCAAGCTAACATATCTTATTGCATACATCAGGCCCTCCAGGACCTCCAGGTAAACTCAAACTTTGATTATTTTGAAACTGTTTTAAACTTTTACAAACTGTTTACAAACATGTGTTAATCATAGGTATTCCTGGTCGAGCAGGATCCAGGGGACCAGAGGGCCCTTCTGGCCCAGAAGGAAGAAGAGGAAGACGGGGTAAATATGAACTCTAAAGCACTATTGTTTTGTTAGAGATTAGGGGCAGTTTTGTCGGCTCTGGGACATTGTTTATCTCAATGCACAGAGCAGATGAATGAAACTGAAAGACGTTTCAGTCAGTTACAAACAGATGTTCATTGTTCATTGATGTTATATAACATCTGCATCCCACTCTCTCCATCAGAGTCTCAAATTACACAATTCCACACATTGGACATGCACAATCTGGGAAAATATGTGGATTTAATGTTATTTCCACAGTGTCATGACCTGATAGCAAAAGCCAAAGTGCTTTATTGTTGAAAGGGGATGCATAAGCAAGGTGTGTCCTGCAACACACCACCACAGCTAAGTTTGGACATGTTTAGAATTTCTTTTGGAAAGAAAACAGTCCGATTGTATGCACACGAAAATTCCAAAGAATCATATTGGCAGTCCATTAAAATGCAAGATCCTAATTAAGGACATCACTGGTGTTGGCCACATCCCAAAAACCTGTCCCGATCAGAAGGACTCTTCAGTGAAAGGTTTTAAGTGTAAAAACAAAAAGCCATCTTCAATAGCTTCATTTGGACTTTGCAAGAGAGAAGTAAATGTTCTGATAAAAAAAAAAAAATAACCATGGTGATCCTGACGCCTTCCACTGTTACTGACCTCTTGAGATGTTTGCTTTGTGAGCCAGTGGAAGGGCTGCTTATTCTCTAATGGAACAATGGAGCTGCAGGTTGTGCAAGGTTCAGAGTTCAAAATGCACCTGACGAAAGCAGTTCTTCAAGAACCATAACGACATCTTTTTGGAAAAGGTTTAACCAATCAGTGTAACTCTCTGTAATGGCGTCCTGGACACACAAGCATCAAGCATTCAAACACTTGTGTGATCAAAAACAGTCACGTCTTTATTTCTAATGTAAGGACTTTCACCGGCTCTTGCTACAGTATCAGTAACTTCTGATCAGCTAATCAAAGCATATTTCAGTTTAAATGCTGTTTTCAACACATTATAAACTTATTTGTTTCTCACTTCCATTTCTTATTTTTGCTTTTTCAATATCAAAACAAGCAAAAGGTTCTTACATGGTGCATTTTCTTTTAGATGATGTTCAATATCTATCTAATATTTAACTACAATGAGTGTTCTCATTCTAGTTAAAACTGCATACAAAATAATAATAATGTCATGTTTCCTTTTTATTTAGGACCTCCTGGTGAAAAAGGGGACCCTGGCCCCAAAGGGGAGCCTGGGCCACTGCGACTCCTTAAAGGAGACAACTTTGAGGACATTTTTATTGAAGGTGGCGGTTGAGTAGTTTGTGCATGTTCTCATATAGATATATAAGTAGGTGAATTGTTCTTGTTTCTAAGGTCCTTCTGGTCCACCCGGTCCACCCGGGCCTCCTGGTCCAGCTTGTTGTTCGAAAAAAACTGAAAAATCTTGTAACGAACATCCTTGTCAATCAATGGAGGTTATCGGTGAGAAGCTTTTAGAATCATGCTTCACATACTGTGTCTATCTCATGACTGTATGTTTTAGAAACTACTACAAACTACTCTGCAAACTCCCAGACTGGTAAGTTAAATAATACTTTAGTTAATTATTTAAGAATACATTTTCTTTTCAATCACACTTAAATTGTCCTTGAAATGACACCAAGGATGTCAAACATGTTTATTCTCAAAGTTATGTAGAGAGAGTAATGGAGCATGTGTTATTAGACCCCAATGATGTATTATGTTTATTATACTGAAAGAATGTATTGAGCATAAGAATTCCTGGAGAACGGCCTCCTCTGTCAGCAGTATGGCAAACCACTGATCCATGGAGAATGTTTTCAAAGTATGGGTAGAACTTTGAACTTGTATTGATATATTATGTAGATGCTGTCACTGCAAACACAAATGATTCCAGAAAAAAGGAGACCACTACACAGCTGTCCGCCCGCATCTTGCCAGGTACAGTATATGACATTATTCTACCTTTTCATGTTGGAGTGAGCGTTGTTCAACAACGATTAAATGCTTTATTTCTCCAATTTTATCTACACAAGTTGAAACAATCTTCATCACCAGTGACAAAGACATCCTCACACCACCAAAAAACACAGCAGGTAGACAGCGTTGCATACATTCATTTTGTGTGACTTCTAAGTGATCTTGTACTTCTTCACATAGAGATTCCATCCACTTCTTCAAGTCCACAATTTACAAGCATCCCAATATCATCTAAATATTTGGAAAAAATATCTGGTGGGAATTTGAATATCTGCAGTTTTAATGCAAAAAAAGAAAAATCCTCACTTTTGTCTTTTATGTTTTGTTACACAGACCAACCAACTTTGCACACAATTTATGGAGATTCTTCTAACTCTATTACTCCTGGGACATTTTCAGAAAAGGTCACAGAATCTGGTAATAACAATTTATATTCTTCCTTTTTATTTGTGTAATTGTATTATGTTGTGTTGTTTTTGTCGTCTTTTAAATTATCTGCTGGCTAATGTTATGTCATGGCTTTTTGCAGTGTAACTATCAACAAATCCATTTAGAATTATTATTGTCACAGAAGATATTGCTGATCATTATTTATTCTTCACAGAACATCCCACTGCGCCAACAACTCATGAACAGGTTTTAGAAGTCACAAATCCTAACTTTATGTTGGACAAGATCAGGGAATCAGGTGATGATCACGGTTTTAATGCATTTTTTGGTTTTACTGCATGGAATATATTCATAGCACTCAGTTGTGATCCTTGAAAGTCAGGAAAGCGTTTTTTCAAGGTCTGGAATGTGCTCTTACAGTTCAAAAGCTGTACAAACCCTGGTAATGGGTGCACAAGTTTTTTGCTTCTACCCTAATAATACTAAATAAGTGAAAAGAAATGTAAAAATAAATCTAGATATTCTTCTCTGGTTGGTTCACAAAAGACAATTGTAGGTGTTTCAACAGCATCTTGAATGTTCTTCAACATCTTGATGTTATTATCGTCAAATATCAACAATGAATTAAATCAAATGTCGTAAATTTGAAACGTTGCAAACAGTGACCTGTAAATAAAGTAATCTTCGGTCGTATCTTGCAGAGCATTCTTCACCTTCTCCACCTCCTGAAGACGAGGCTGACTCTCATGTCACACAAGTGGAATCCTTGGCTGAAACCAGACTGTTCAGTGAGTTCTTTGTCACTGTATCTGACTCTACTATGAAACTTTCTGAGCAAAGAAAATATTGTTTGATGTAATGAAATGTATCTGTTTGATCAGTCAGTTGGTGCTGAGAAGATGAGTGTTCTGAGGGCGTAATGAACCTTAGTGTGTTTGTATAGTAGTATAGTATAGTTAAAACAGACCCTACACCTGTACCGCCGTGGATGTATAAAATTGGCCTGAAGAAAGCATAGAAAGAAGTCAAAAATACGTCATAATAAAATTTGCACAATAACCTTTTGAAATGCTTCATGAATGTTTTACTTTTTCTACAGATTCAGCATCGGCGAATCCTATTTCAGTGACCAGCAGTGATTCTATGACAACACAGTCTGAAAAGAAAAACATTTTTATGCAAATTTGGGATTCCCTTTTATTTGAACAAAGAGATCACAATAACATGGAAACTGAACCAGTTACCGCAGCACTAACAGCTGCCACAGGTATCACATTTGTTTGGTACTCGGTGTATTTTTTACAGATGTTGACAACCTCCATCTTCTAAAGGTTCCCCGTCTGCCTCCAACACAAAGAAATATGATTTTACAACGGATCTAACAATAACAGGTGCGTTTATATGATTTGTCTCGTTTGAGAAAGAAACTTCTCCCAACATGACATTGTTTACAGCAGAATTCAGGCAGGAACCAGCCATGAATACCAGTCATTTGTTAAATCATTCATACCCTGGATTGAAAGATGATAAAAAAAATATTTCAAAAGGACTTAATTTTTGTTTTAATTGTAAAACATTTCTTTTCAGAATCAAACAAAGAAAATAATGGACAAATAATATTAAATAAAATTGATAATATTACGCAAGCTGCACATCAAATTTCACCAAGTAAGCGATAAAATGTAATTTAACAAAGGAATGATTATTAATGGTCATTGTATTTTTTTATGCAGCTCCGTCTTCCTCCAACCTGAATGTATTCAACATCAGTGAAAATCTACTTGATGCATATATGAAAAGTGGTGAGTGAATTGACAATATTTGTTGATATGTTTTATGTTCAAACCTACACAAGAAACCAGAAGTTAACACATGTAAATATAGTAGAACAAGGACCTCCAGCTAAATAACCTGATGATGAATAACTACATACAATTTATTCTCTTGCTTGTTTTAGGTCTGTTGTTTTGTATTTAAGTTTGACTAACATGAAAGTTAAACAGTACGTATCTTTCTCAAGAAAACATTTCTTTCCCCTCAGAGTCATTGTCATCGGGCAAGACAGGTAATATTTCCTAAATTACTTACCTCATCACATATTCTATATTACACTCATTTTTTATTGTGATCAACATCAAGAGTGCACTGTAAAAAGCATTAAATGTTCAGAGAAGACTTCTGAAATGCAAACTACCTTTGGAGCTTGGATGCAGGATGCGTACTTGAAAAATGACAGTCAATATTGGCTTGCAGAACACTTTTCAGGTGCCTAAATTTCATTTAGAGTTGTCATATGTTGGTGTTTTTCAAAAATATTAAACGGATATGTTTTTTAGGTCGGATTTTGCTTGAATACACAGACGCATCTGCACTGCAAAATATAAGTGCTAAAATTATAGATGTGCGAGGGTATTACCAGGGCTGTGGTCATGTGGTTTATAAGAGGCATTTGTATTTTCACTTGGCTGGAACCAAAAAACTCATCAAGTAAGTACTTCACATGGATCTCAAAGTTGTACAACTACTGTTACTTAACTAAATCACCCAATACTGTAGATTCAACCTTAACACTCGAAGAATGGAGAGTCTTACCATGACAAACAGTCGATATAACAGCCTGAATTATCTCTTTCGAAACTCTAAGACGTATTTTAAATTTGCTGTGGATGAAAATGGACTCTGGGTCATGTTTGCCAAGAACTCGGAAGACAAAATGATGGTTGCAAAACTAGACCATGAGACATTCACTGTAACATCTCTCATTGATATAGCTTATCCGACATCCAAGGCAGGAAATGCTTTTATTGCATGTGGTGTGGTTTATATCACCGATGAGAAAGACAGGACAATTTCATATGCATTTGACTTGGAAAAGAATAAATATGTTGATAAAAACTTTGATGTAAGGGCATCTAATGGAATCTTGGCCATGCTGTCATACTATCCTCACATGAAACATGTAATTATGTGGGATAATCGCAGTGTTAAAGTGTGTAAGGTTAAATATAAAAATACATACATTTAAGTGTGTTTATTTGTTTGTTTTGATGTGACAATAATTTAATTATTTTACCATGTTTACAATAAAAACGTATTTTTCACATGTTTTGTTTCATAGTTTTAATGCCCTCTTGCCCAAGTGACTTTTTCTGGACATCTTGTACTTGATGGTTACAAAATCAGCATGCATGGTTCTCTGCTCTGATTAAACATTGAGTGTTACCTTCATAGTTTTGTAAAATAATATGAAAACCAAATAAAGACTTGATTATAAAAGTTAGTTTCTTGGTTAAGGTTGGGAACATTTTGTACCCCATTTGCTACAAATACTCCATGGTCCATTGCTATAAACATTGCAAGCAGAGTTTTTGAAAAACAATGTATAACGAGTGGACCATAATGTATTTATTTAGGGGATTACCGACTCAATGCATTTACGTTCATAAAACGAGTACTACACTTTTTTCTAATTGATTAAATTACATTGAAATACGTATGTATAGTTCCATGTTTTTGTTTTGTTCATTTTTTCCTAATTTTTTTATATGCCCACAAACGCACCTCGGGGTTGACGTGCCGGTGAATCTGTAGAAGATTAAATAAGCGGATATGTGGTGATTGTGAAACGTTGTCCCCACCGCCATGTTTACATCATCCATGTTATATTACACCTATTAGCTAACGTGCTGTAACCTAGTGGGAAGGGCATGGATGGGGAAGAAGGGTGCGAGTACAAAACAGCGTTGTATCACAGGGGTCCCATCTGGGGATAGAAGGCCGTAAGGACATCTGTCATTATAAACTTACTGTTATCTAGTATAATGCATGTCTTAATTTGAAGTATCAAAACAAACACGGCCAAGCGAAGGAGGAGTGACATAGCATATTTGCATTCGTGCAGGGGCTGTCAGGAGAAGACCGAGTGGTTCACCGTGTTCTGTGAGTAAAAATCCCAAATAATTACACATTTGACAACTCGTGGAAAAACATTCTTAAAATACCCCTTTGTCGGTCGTTCTTTATGTAGCTATGCATACAATTTACTGAAAGATATTTTTACATTTAGCTAGCGTTAAACTCTGAGATTAGCTCTCCCCGCAGTGTAGTGGTCGTGGGCCTAATTTTAGTCCACCTAGCAAACACAATAGTAGTAATGCCACTCTTTTTGAAATTGTGGCAATTTTACAGCCATTATTTCAATATACTTTCCGATACTAATGTACTGTGGGACTATAGTTAAAGCCCGTGTTCTTAAATGTAGCTGGTAAACACTCGTATGAACCAGCTAATGCTAACAGTGACGCTGGCGTTATGAAATGTGCAGCAGCGCGTACTTTTCCACCGCAGCTGAACTAAAAGATAGTAATTGATGATTGTAATGTATTTTGTGTTCTTTTAGGGTGTAGACACTAAAGAGGAGTGATGTCTAGTACATGTACTTCGGCTGCTAGGTTGATTCTAAATACGACACATAGAGGTAAGAAAAAAAATCGCTAAGACCCAGTGACATTGTGCTGTGTGCCATAACTCCTAAAGTAGGTCTTGACCTAATCCAGATCCCAGATGTTTGTTTTGACAGTATGTGGGTAACGTCAGATTTATCCATGGGTTTCAGAATGTTGAACGGCGATCGCTGTTTTTGAGTGGTGAAAAACAATAATCTGAAACCAATGAGTGATGAACGTGTAGACACTATTATGCAACACCTTCTTCATGGACACGTGATAAAACAGATGTATCCTCCTGGATTTTTAGATGCAATAGTCAATTTGAATACATAATATATATATTTTTTGTTTTACCCTCAATAATTGTATTTATTAAGTATAGCCTTTTATAATGCCAGACCTTGTTTTTCAGGATTGTTATGCTCCCGGATAAAGTTGTATTCTTTGAGTCGTCAGGGGTCCCGGGAAAGACATATTCCCCCCTTACTGTATCTGAGAAACTTTTCTGAAACTACGGTTTGTTTCACTTCCAAAGATGGAACAACAAAAGATGGAGGGAGTGATGGAAAGGTGATTTTACAGCTACTTTCTAAAACGTGTAACAGTTATTTGTCCAGTGTTTAATCTGAAAGTGTGCACCTTTATTTTAACAGAAAAGCATCAGTGAGGGGAAAAGGCTGTCTGGCTCTGGAGGGGCAGGCAAAGGAGGGAGTCAACTCCGTTGCCCCAAATGTGGTGATCCATGTACACATGTAGAAACATTTGTATGTAAGTAATCACAGCATTAGTTTGGTAATAATGTCATATTTTCATAACATTTCATAATACTTTTATACTTATATGTAGCATCAACGAGATTTGTCAAATGTGAGAAATGTCATCATTTCTTTGTGGTTCTGTCGGAAACTGATTCCAAGAAGGGGCTAAGCAAAGAGCCAGAGTCAGCCGCTGAGGCTGTGAAGCTCGCCTTTGCACAGAAACCTCCACCTCCACCAAAGAAGGTGAGGATCAAATTAAAAACCATTTTGAGCAGCAGTTGCATATATATTGATGTACCTTTATTTCCCCCTCTCCAGATATATGCATACCTTGACAAATATGTTGTTGGACAGTCCTATGCAAAGAAGGTGTTGGCAGTTGCAGTGTACAATCACTACAAGCGCATCTACAACAACATCCCAGCTGGTAACAGACAACAAGTGGAGGTGGAGAAGCAGCCTTCTTTAACACCACGAGGTTGGTTTTAGAAGAGGCGAACATAAATTTTTATACACATGGCAAGCAGTGTTGGCTGACAAAAGCATTATTTGGTTGAAGTTGCATATTTGGCATTTGTTCAATATATATATATATTTGTCCAACCAACACTTTGTTACAGCACTCCCTCAATAATGGAATAACATAAATTCAGAGTCGACGTATTTTGAATACAAAACCACATTGGTATATATACTTGCAAAAGTACCCAATGTGCACGAGAAACAACCATATCAAAACACCTGAAGGACATGTAGACAAATATTTAAAAAACGGCTGTTTACACACGTCACTGTGCGTGTGCTTACTTCTATTTTGTTTAGATTCCGTTCACATTCACCGCCGTTTATTCACTCAACACAATAAATTACCTAATCAACCTAATCCATGATGAGCGCACACAGGCAGACACACACAGGTGACAGAGAACCAACTTTATGAACTCTGCAAACAGACCAGATTAGTTTGTATTTGACCTCGGAATCAGCGCTGTGCTCAAACTTGCAGTTGTCTGCACGATCATCTGCAACACATCTCTCCTCTTCTGTTTTTTGCTCTTTCACAGAGCTCCTCCATATTTGGTCACCTTCATTCATTTATTTCATCATTCACTTGTAGCTAAACTTCTAGCTTGATAGAGGCAATCACACTGGCCTGGAGGCTCTACACTGAGGCCCAGTTTAGACGGAGAAGCTGCAAAGCATTTGGCAAAAACGACCAGGCTCCTTAATCAAGTGCACAGCGTCTATTTGATGACGGAAAACCATTTAGTTCTAGCGCCCGGCCAGTAGTGGGCAGTGGAACGTTACAACACGACACACGCAAACTATCTTCTTCTTGAGGGAAGAAGCTGGAACATGGCTTTTTATATTGATTTGAGTAATATCATCCTCTTCTTGTAGAGCTAGAGATGAGAAGACGAGAGGATGAATACAGATTCACAAGTAAGTGAATATTTATGAATTGTACAAATGCCAATATGTAACGACACATCTGGCATGTGAGCCTAACTTGCAACACTTGACTTCTCTCCTATTTTGGTTTCTGTTTTGGTTCATCTTGGAGGTGAATGTGCTGGATGTGGAGGTTCTGCATGGGCTGGTTGAGTTGGTCAGACTGCCAAATTGTCAAATACCTTTTTTGAGGCTTATGGTAGAGAAATTGTCTTTCAATTCACAAGAATCAGCTCTTCTGCAGTCAGCATGCCAATTTTTCTCTCAAAACTTGCGGCAGTGTGATAAAACCTTATTATTGTGCACTGCGTGTGCGATATTCATGTTGCCAAAGCATCTTGGTATGCCACACCTGCGGGGGTGGACTGCCCTCCAAAGAATAAGTTAGTTTTTGAATAGATATTTTGTCCATGTATAGCTTTATAGCTTTTAGTAAAACCCATTAAGAATGGGAGCAAAAAGAAAAGTTTTTGGTTTATATTTTTATTCAATACATTTTTCCATAGTGCAGTGTAAAGGTGTAAATGCAAACAATATGCGTCCTACTGACCTATTTCCAATGGCTGCACTGACCAGGACAGGTTTATAATTAGCTTGTAACCAAAACTCAGTACTCAAGCGCATGCCATATGCAATTATATCGCTTTAACATCCAACTCTCGGTAATAAGTTGAAGCCTGTTAAAGTTTATCTGCTGTGGTGTTTTTCCAGAGTTGCTGCAGATCGCAGGCATCAGCCCTCATGGAAATGCTCTGGGAGCAACAATGCAGCAGCAGGCGAGTCAGCAGGCTCCACAGGAGAAGAGAGGAGGGGAGGTCTTGGACTCTACACATACCGATATTAAACTAGAGAAGAGTAACATAATCCTTTTAGGGCCAACAGGATCTGGTAAGTATTACTTTACAGAGTAACAATCAAAATAGTCTATCTCAACTACAACCACCTTTTTATGTACCTGTATCTCTTCCCAGGAAAAACATTGTTGGCACAGACACTGGCCAGATGTCTAGATGTCCCATTTGCTATTTGTGATTGCACAACATTAACACAAGCAGGATATGTGGGAGAAGACATAGAGTCCGTTATTGCCAAGCTGCTACAAGATGCCAACTACTCAGTGGATAAAGCTCAACAAGGTGAGCATAAGATTGCAACTGAAACGCCCATACATTTATATAGCCGTGGCATTGAAAATACCAAGAGGTAGTACTGTTTTAACATCATTATTTTATAATCCAAGTTGGATCATAGATCCATAGTAAGCAATATGAAAAACTTACTCAGTGCACCTAGAATTTGCACAAACAGCCTGGTGTGGTGTGAATGGCCATTAAGAATTTTTCTATGTGCAGGTATTGTATTTCTGGATGAAGTGGACAAGATCGGCAGTGTACCAGGAATACACCAACTAAGAGATGTTGGAGGAGAAGGTGTCCAACAGGTGTGACGTGTTTCTTTTGTTATTTACCCAATGCACTTTAGGTCAATAAGAATTGGGTCAATGTGAATCTGTCTATTCCAGGGCTTGCTTAAATTGCTGGAAGGGACAATTGTCAATGTACCTGAGAAAAACTCCAGAAAACTAAGAGGGGAGACTGTGCAGGTGGACACAACAAATATACTCTTTGTTGCATCTGGTGCCTTTAACGGTCTTGACAGAATCATCAGCAGAAGAAAGAATGAAAAGGTACTTTGGACGTGCTTTGTATGTGAAAAAAAGTCGCTTGAAAGTGGTTTTATCTGTATTGTATGATCCTGCAGTATTTGGGCTTTGGAACGCCATCAAACCTGGGGAAAGGTCGGCGTGCTGCTGCTGCCGCAGACTTGGCGAATACAAGCGGAGAAACAGACACTGTGGCAGAGATCGAGGAGAAGGACAGACTTCTGAAGCACGTGGAGGCTCGGGACCTGATCGAGTTTGGAATGATCCCTGAGTTTGTGGGCCGTCTGCCCGTGGTGGTCCCTTTGCACAGCCTGGATGAGCAGACGCTCGTCCGTATTCTCACTGAACCACGCAATGCTGTGGTCCCACAATACCAGGCTTTATTCAGCATGGATAAAGTAGGTTATGTTTCTGTAGACTTGACATCAGGTGAGACTATGTCAATAATTATCATTGCCTTTTTCTAGTGTGAACTGAATGTTACTCAAGATGCCTTGAGAGCCATTGCTCGGATGGCCCTTGAAAGGAAAACTGGAGCTCGTGGACTCCGATCCATAATGGTATTTTTACAATTTCACTATTATTAAAATTGACAATGCTATTAAATATTGTATAATTCTGTCTACAGGAGAAATTGCTGCTTGAGCCCATGTTTGAGGTTCCACACTCGGATATTATTGCTGTTGAACTAAGCAAAGAAGTTGTTCATGGAAAATCTGACCCCAGATATATCAGGTCACTATCTACCTTTGCCTTGTTTTTAAGTATCAGAAATTAGATAATACAACTAGATACTCATTTGAGCAAGTATAAATGACAATTTTCTATTATTGTAATAGTTAAGTGGTTGAACACCAAATTCATGGAACGATCTACGACTGAATTGGGCATTGAGCTTTTGATACGTTTTGAACTGTATCAGAAGAACTAGTAATAACTTATGTCTAAAAAATAAATATCATTTTTAAAGTAATTGTATTGAGTATTAAATAGTATCGATGAGAAATGAATTGTCACCATTAAATAATATATTTGTTTTAATAATATATATATATTTAAAAAACTATATATAATCTAATTTGTATAGAACTAAAGACTGAAATGAGAAATCATCAGTGTGGGTTGCAATAGCTCAGCGAGACGTTTTTTAAATGCAGAACTGCTATTGGAGAGTCCTTTAACTTGAACTGCATTTTTAACGTGTGTTTCAGGGCTCCCGCCAAAGAGACCACAGAGGAGGAATATGACTCCGGCATCGAGGAGGACAACTGGCCTCGACAAGCAGACGTCGCTAACAACTAACGAGCCATTCATTTCACAACCCAGACCGTGCCCTCAGAAAAGTACAGATTTCTATGGACTTTTAAGATTTTATTAAAGCCTTGTATTAACAAGGAGAGGAGTGAAGGTAATGAAGGTTTCTGGTGATTTTTAATGAACAAATTAAAGCGTGTAACATCTTTGGTCCTGTGCATCATACATTAATTCACTAGCTCTGTGCTCACTGGTGGACCTTTGTAAAGTATTTCAATCTCTGTGGGTTGTTAACATTTTATCTATATAAAGATAATGCAATTTTATTCATACCGTTTTGTAGCTAGTGTTTGTTCTTTTTGTGGTGATTGGCTCTGACCCTGAGGGAAACAATGGACATTATGGGATCATTCTGTAGACTTGATTTGGACTTTGTAAACTAGGTTTAATGTTACTTTTTCAACTGATGCCTTCGGACAAATGGGCATAATATTCCACAAACATCACAATGTTGATGTTTAAGGCACCATTCTAGTAATGGTGTGAGAACAGGTTGTAAAAGTGGAGCTACACTGCTTAATATTTTTAAGCTGTCCTTTAAAAACGTTTCATTAAATAGTAAAGTGTTGAGTGTAGGACTGATAGTGAGAACTGTTTTTAATCCACTAAAATGGTTATTTACCATTTTCTACCGATGCTTCCTCTTGTTCCACGTAGAGAATGTACTTCTGCCATCAGACCCTAATCACATATGGCTCAGGTACTTTTCACAGCTTCATTATGATCCAGAGTTATTCTATGAGTTTGTTTTCAGAAAGTTCTCATCCATGACTGATGTACACATGTCCTGGTTCATATCTGCATCATAGTCTTAGTGAATTTAAAATCATTTTCCAATACTACCTTTGACCCTCATCTGTAGTTCTCTGCATAAAGTATCATGTTGAACTCTAAAATGCTGTTTGTGATACAAAAGATTATTAAACCAGATCTTTTAAGTTTCTTTTCTGGAAACTATCTTTTGGGATGTCGATTATTCTCTTACAACACCTCAGGTTTGTAAAATGTAATATGTATACACAACACTTTGGATTGGATTATGCTTTATTTTGTAAATAGAGCCCAGGAAGAATAATATTTTTTGTGGAGATTGAGAATCATAATTTAATTGGCTAATATCTAGAAAATAAAGCCCAGAGGTTTTTTTTTTATTAGTGGCTTTATAACAAAAATGTACTCTAGTTGAACAACATTTTATTTAATAAATGCAATAAAGCAGATCATGTAACCAGCCAAAAACAACTGGTGTGGTGATCGTTTAATGTTATTGACTGGTTATTACATTAATGCAATGATTTTTTTTAAAGTCAGAAATAAGTCAGTTTTGGTTTTTACCGTTTGTCCAATAAAATATTATTTGGTCAAACCCACACTAAAGTTTTTACAAGTAAAAGAGATTACTAAACGATTGAACACAATTGTGATAAGCACACAGAAGAAATACTTGCAGTATCAATACTTTCATTGTCAGTACTCGATCATACTTTTAGGCTGATAGTACTTTTTTAAAAAGTTACTTGGCATGCTTATAGCTATGAAAGTTAAGCCTGCATTATGCTTTCCGTCTGAAAAAAGGTCTCGATAATTAAAGTAAACCTGGGGGTCAGTTTGCTTAATCTTTTCTGCCTGTAGGGGGCGATGGGACACAATTGGCCTCGTTTCATATATTGCATTTCATCTGGAAAGTTTTGTCTGGATTTTGGCACCTTATCAATAATGTAATAAATGATCAGCACACCAGGATGATATTGGCTGGTTATTACGATATTGGTCCCCACATTTTTTTTAAAATTGTAAGTTAATTAGCATTATTAAATGTTTGTGTGGAGGCAGAAGTATGATGTAAATAAATACCACCTATTAGGGCTATGTGTCAAATAATAAATGTGTCATAATTGCAGATAGATACATTAGATCAGGCTTGCAAGGTGCAGATTTATGACGGAGATATTATTGGTAAACAATGATGTCAACGGATTAGTGGAGAGATTATTCAAGTTAATCAGTTGCACAACTTGGTCATTGAAGACCACAGATGCAACACAAACTATATGTTGCATCTATATATATATTTTTTTTAAACTTTGTTTTTGTCAGTGTTGTCATTTTTCATAATGAGTTTTCTGGAGGACGTCCCTTTTCAGACTCTTATGGGTTCACTGCAGGAGCAGGCACATGTCACATCTCCAGAAATCTCCATTCCAGACTGTGCTCAAATACTACAAGAAACTCAGGTGAGTGGTAGATTGTCTCAGCTTCAGTGTGGGAGACTAGGATTATCTAAAAACTAGAATACTTTTCTGGTGAGGGGTCGTTCACAGCCTGCTTGTTTCACTAGAGCAGTGTTTTTCCGAGTGTACCCATAGAGTGTAAATATTAAGTGTGCGGTGGCATGTTAGTAATGGGAAATACTAAAGGAAAACACTGAAATTTGAAATACTTTTTTGCCCTTGTTTCAATACTCTTTGCATTGTTAATAAAGGCTGCAGAGTTTTGTCAAAGTCATCTGAATGTTTCAATGTAAATGTAAAACGTGTGGCTCAAAAAGGTTGAGGAACAATGCGCTACACCATCTATGAAATGGACATGTGAAATGCTCTGTGAAAACTATTACACGAAGAACTCAAATTATAGTGTTGAATTTAGAATGAATGATTGTAGAACCTGGACTGTGTATGGGTTTATTTACAAGATTGTGTTCTGTCACAGTATGAATTCAGCCTGGAGAAGTGGATCTTGAGTGGGCCTCAGCTCCCTGCAGTACTCCCCTCCTGCCCACCGTATAGCCTGCTCCACAGTTCCCCTCAGGAGAACCTCAGACGGAGCATTTGGACCCTAGACCCCCGGCCTCGCAGCTTTAGTCTGAATTCTGAGGACTCCAGGCTGCCCCGCCGCACAGTCAAATTCCTCTTGTGTGACTCGGACGAAGACAGCTGCTGTGGCCACAACAGCAACGTTTACTACGAGTCCCCATTTCTGATGGAGCGGCCCCATAGCGCAGCACGACTCAATGACCTGCATAGAGGTCCGAACAGACCAGAATCCCCTCAAGGACTGGAGGGACACAAAAAGAGCCTGCCTGCTCTACACCAGTGCAGACCCTCCTCTGCAGAGCATAAGCCACAGCAGGCCAGCCCACTGCCTCAAAAGAACAAGCGGTGGCGCAAGTCAGTGAGTTCTTTGATTAAAAAGTACCCCCAAAATACAGCCTCTGTAGGTGAGAGAAGACTGCAGCAACAACGGCCATCTTCTGCTGGGCCTGTGGTCAAGAATCACAGGCAAAAGGTTGGACACAACATTGCTTTGCGTATGTTCTCTTGACTGGTTTTGAGTTTGTTTCTGAATTTCCTGCAGGCTCTAAACCCTGGGACTTACAGCGGGGCCTTTCTGGACACTGCTGCGGAGCTCCTGTCAGCGCTCAGCCCGGAGGAACGAGAGCTGCTCGAAACCATCACTCAGAGAGGCTACACTTTACGGAGAGCTATAATAGCCCTGCAGAGAACAGGCTACAGAAGCCCAGAAAAGGTAACTTATTAAGAGGAAGATGACGAGACAAATCTACACTGTTGTATATTCCACAGATCTGCAAGTACCTGGGGGCCTGTGAGCGGCTGTGCCAGCTCGGGTATGATGAAGGACAAGTGGAAGAAGCCATGGAGATGTTTCAGAACGGTGAGAAAAAGGTAAGTCTTCGGAAATCTAATGGATTTGAAATCATTTTCCATATATGGCTTCATTGTCATTTCAGGCTGCTGAATTCCTACAACTTCTGACACAATTTAAAGAAATGGGATTTCAACAAAGTGCAATCAAAGAAGTTCTGCTGGTTCATGAAAACCATCGCGAAAGAGCTCTGGAAGAGCTCATGACACAAGGACTAAATTAAAACAGAACACTACAAACTAAGTACTCAAAAATGACATGACTAGGAGAACGTTTGAAATAAAGTGTTTATTTACAGGCTACACAAAAATGTGCTAAAAAATGTGATAATGCAATAGCATGAAGCAACAGATGTAGTGCTGAATGTGTACTTGATGTCAACAGAAACAGGGAAAAGGAAACATTGAGTCATATCCACAAAGAAACAGTCAACCTTACATTAAAATCTAATAAAAAAACACGATTCTTCAAATTGTACTGATCACAAGTTAAATATTTACACTTTTTGTGGAGGTTTACAATATTGTGTACAATTTTTAAATACTCTAAAGTCCAATGCCCAGATGAAGTCACTGATGACTCACCGTGGAGTTCAGCACATGCGTCTTCACATTCGATTTAGCCTTCGAGAGGTCTCTCTGCAAAGAACAAACTCAACTTATTGTGGGTAGAAACACAATGTGTAAATGTTGTGTCATTTGATCTGTAGATGAAAATAACAAGTGTGTTAGGATGGATTTTTTAGTAAGAAAAAAGCCATGCACTGCTTTTGCTCATTTCGAATGCTCACTTCAACTCTGACCTGATTAACCAGTACCAGGATTTACTTAATCTTTAAAGGGGACAGCTCAACTTTTGAACTAAATATTGAATGATTCACAGGTGTCATAAAGTACATGGGGGAGGTCAGGATCATGTCCCCTTTATGGGTTTCAGCATTCCCCTTTCAACAATGCAGTATTATAGTGTTATGCTAACCATGACAACAATCCCAATTTACATTTCTGAAACCCATGGATGTGAAAATATAGAGAACGACATTTACCGCAAATTCCACATAGGAGCCCGCAATAGAGTTTAAGGTGAAGGTGTGATCTTTAGTTTCCTGAGACCTTAAAGAGGCACTGGGAGTGTTTCTCTGTAGATGGGAGATGTTCTCCTTATTTCGCTCTAGAACACGGGGAGTCTTCATTTGTCCTGGAGTTCGCAAACCAAGACTCTGCAAAAAATGATTAGACGTGCGATTAGTGTCGACATAAAGGTGCAGTCTAAATTAGTCTAGATGGAGGTTTGCCAATGTGTGGTTATTTTTGTGCATTTACTTTACACAAGTAGAGCTGTAAAAAAAAAAAAAAACCTTCCACAAATAAATCATTCTGAATATCATGCGGCTCATGTTTTCCTCTCCTTCCATCTAAACTGAGCTTATTCCATCAATGGCTTCAAGGCATAATGTATTATTACGTATAACATTTCAAACGCATTAACTCAAAGGCTGTTTGCGCAGTCAAACTTCATATGAGCAAATGAAAGACGTCCCTTGTGACTGTTGGCCAGTGTTACTCACCTTACTGGCTGATAAGGGCAGTTTCTGGAGCGAAGACTGACACAGAGTTCCACCAAGAATGCTGGTCGGAGTAGATAGTGTGGAGGCACTGTTCATCTAGTAAAAGTCCAACAAACATTAGTGACAACTTTTGAATAGAGCAGTTTCAATCATCTGTTTATTGTATTACCTTTCTAATTTTTCCAGGTGTGACACTTCCAGCAACGCGCCTCTTAGACGGTGTCCTGATGGCTGTTCCAAACATCATGTCCTCCTGAATCTGTTTGCTCTTCTTTAGTTGCTGTATAATACAGTAAAATATTATTATACAGAGTTTTAGACACATTAAACTAAAGAGGGATGGGAAAATACCCTCTCCAGCTTTTCCCGCTCCTTCTCGTTGTGGTGGTTCTCCCACTGCTCCTGAACATACTCAAGAAATTTCTGTCCATTCACAAGGAACTCAGTCCCATTCTCCTGTTCCCACATATCAATTTCAACTTTCAGGACCTTTTCCAACTGAAACATAAGAAATGTGCACTTTGAAGTCATGTCATAGTGCCTTCCTAAAAATAGGTTTGTTTCCACAAATGTATACTTTGGGTATGCTTTTCAGCAAGTCAGCTCTCTGCTTCTCTTCTTTAAGAAGATTCCCACCCCTGTTGTTGAATCTTGCAGGATCATTGGCTTTTTTCTGTAATGGAAAATTGATGACACATGTTGCCAAGCATTAAATCTACCAATTTAAATACAATACTATTTAGAAATACTCACATCAAGCTCCAAGTACAATGTCCAGTGCGACTGCCATTTAGTGACGCCCTCAAAGAGTTCCTTGTGGCACTCATAACAGCTTTGGAGTTTGCTGATCTCAGCCTCATGCAATTCAAGAAGCTCTTCAGTGAATTCATCTTTTAACACATTTTTTTTTTTAGAACAATGACATTTAAAACATTAACTGCATAGGAGTAATGGAATATACCAGCTTGATATGCTGAAAAGGCCCGACACTGCTCTTGACTATAAAAGCATTTTTCCCACAAAAGAGCAATCTCGGCCCTGATGGATTCAGTCACACTTTTCAGGCTCTGAAGTTTCATCTCCTGGAGTCGCTGAAGTTCTGTCTGAAGCTAAAAACGACCAAAATGTATACATTTATTTTTTTTGAGAAAGGAGGAACAATACATATTTAATGAACATTTTCACAAATGTAAATATGCCAGATTATAGCCTTAGGCTAATTTCCATCTGCAGACCCCCTGGCAGGTTGGTGTTACACACCAATTATTAAAAACATACAGAGACACCATTTAAATACAGAGAGACAGGGACAGGAACAGTTATTGCATCATGTTAGAACAAGCAGCAAGCATGCAAGAGTGGACAGCAAAGCACAATGTAGAGAACAGTAACAGAAACACATAATCTGTATTGCACAAACCAGAGTATTGCACATGCCCTGACTGTCCTGATATTACACTGACCCATATTGTATTGACCTGTATTGCACAACCCACATTACAATAACCGTTTTCCCTTTTTTGCAATGCACGAGCTCTATCTAAACATGATCACATGTTTGTGTGTCCCTCAGCCACATTTTTTAAATGACTCCTGAAGGTAGGCAGACTGGTGCTTTCCCTCACTGACACAGGAATACTATTCCAGAAGCTCACTCCCTGATATGACAGGACATTCTGTGAGAAAGCGGTCCGCCTAAATGCCAGTTCATAGTCGCCTCTAGCAGTGGTTCGAGTTACTCGAGAACTGGCAGCACTACTAGACTTTTGTTTAATAAAATCGCTCATTGGTGGAGGCGGTAGACCATGTATTCCCTTGTAGATTAGGCAGGCGGATTTAAACAATTTGAAATTATCAAAAATGTTACAAAAGAGCTTTTAAAATATAAGCTCTTTTGTAACCCAATTCAATTGGCCCAATGGCAGCATGACTCGTATAGTATTGGTGAATTAAATATTGAAGTGAAGTAAGGTTAACACTTACTGCTTCAACGTTCTTCTTTCGCATGTTCTGCATGTGTTCGGAAACAAGATCCCTCTCTTCTTGGGGCACTTTAAGTCGTTCCCAAAGTTCCTGTATTTGTGTTCGATATGAAGCACAGCGTAACTCTACTTCAGCTTTACTTTCTTGGAGCTAGAACCAAAAGGATTGTTGAAGTACATTCAAAACAATAACATTCTGCTATTGTTGTGTTTTACCTGACCAAGAAGAATTTTAAGAGCAGAGATATTATCGGTTGACAGAAAAAATTCCTCCTCGTCCTCACACATTACATCCATCTCAAAACTGGTCTCAGGTCGGCGTTCCAGGTCGTCCATGCATTGGGAAATCTTCTGCTTCAAACTGATGAACTCTTCATGACGTTGCTCCTAAGAAATAAGGCGAGACCAGTTGTAAAAGTTACATAATGGTGACATTTACTGAAAAGGTCAAGATTAAGAGATCCTTTATTTGCCCAACAGTGGGGAAATTTCACTGTTGCATCCCCAAACACAGAACAGTAATAACAAGAAGTACACAGCACAAGATAAATGAACAATAATTCTAAACTAAATAAAATAAAAATAGCTCTAGCATGAAGAAAAAAAAACAGGAATAAAATCTATCTTTAGCATAATGAATACAAAAAAGTAACTTTAGCATACGAGTGTATATTAAAGTATCTGGACTTTAAAAGATAACTCAAAAACTAGAATGACTATCAGATTGGAAAAAAATGTCAAACACAGACAATTCGAAGAGATAGATTTGATCCTTCTTCTGTGACGCCATTTACATAGTAAATTAAATGTCCTCAGTCTGAAAAAAATGGCAGATGAACTCCCACAACATTAACATGGCTAACACAACATAAGTAAATAACTTGATTTCTAAAAGGAATAATAAAAAGAAAAAAAATGCTATAAAAATTTAAATGACCCATGCCGTCAATTTTTCTCTAAATATTAACCTTGAGAAAAAAAGGCACTGGTTTTACTTTTAATTGGTTTACTATATGAAAGTATCACTTTGTTTCTAGTCTGTCAATAAAATAATCTTCAAATGTGGACATCTGAAAATATTTACAAAACTTCCGCAAAGCCCATTCTGTCAAATCATCACGTCTGTTACATAAAATAAACAGGGCCGGTGTAGGAAACTTGACTAATTTATGAAACAGTTATGTTCTAGCAACTTCTAATGGACTGAGGATTTTCTGATTTTTAAATCTAATCTTTGGCCTCTTGTCACACTTTTGTACCCTTTCGTGTGAACAAGCCCATCTTAATATAAAATCTCTACCTTTTCTTTGGTCAGGTCATCTACGTAGGCACGGAAAGTCTCAAGCTGCTTCAGAGAGGGAACAGTGTCCTTGTCAATGGAGAAAGGCGTGGTGCCCATAATGTCACACAGCTCACGGTCTTTGGAAATAAGAATTCCCAAATCTTCCATCCGTTGCTTTTTGTGTTTTATGAGGCCATCTAGTTGTGTGCGACTATTCTTCTCCAGCTGCAAAATGGTGCAGCCAGTTTCTTCCTAATATTAAGAATAAAGTAGAGTAGTTAACGAATATAGTTCAATTAATTGCATACAAAACAAACAGTACCTCAAATGGGGGCAGAGAGAGTTCACGGCACAAAGTATGCATCTCTTTGCGTCCGACTTCAATAGTTTTGATCAGTTTCTTCTTAAGATCCTCTTCCTCTGTGATCATCAAATCCAACAAACTCTGTAAAAAGGCAAAGATATGATTTGATTTGACTAACTACTAGCTACTAATCAATGTATGCAAGGTTTGCCGAAACCCACTTTAATATAGTTATGAACGTCATTTGTTCTCTGAAGCCTCTGTTCTTCTGGGATCCCAATTTCCTCCCAAATTTCCTGCAGTTTTGCCAGAGCCCTGTTGAGATAGGCAACGGACTCTGCAGCGTGGACCTCACTGGAAATTAACAAAAAGAGTGAACATTGTGTTGACAATACTTCCCTTCTCGTTAGGCCAGTTCATCAGTGCTCTACAGACGACATTGCAGAAACTATGTGGATGAAACTGCAAATATAATACAGTTTTCTGATTTCAACAGTTAGAGACCAAAATGAGTTTTATTATCTGGGTAATATGCTGAAACTGAGCAAATATAAACTATAATGGATAGACAAAAGCATGCTAGGTTAGTTAGCGTCATTTGGCTAACGCCAACTAAAAAAAGCACCTGATTTGTACTCACCTCACTCTCATGTTGTGTCCACAGGCAGCACGAGGGCTATAAACCTCTTTACCTCGGTTAAACGAGGTTTAAATCTATCCTCTTCACCGGTAAAACGGCGTTAAAATCAGGCGTCCTGCTTCTGCTCTGTGACTTCCCGGAACGTAACGTCTGCGACTCACGTTTGAAATTTGCACCGAAACAACACGCGCCTCTGATTGGCCCGAGGCACTGACGTCAGCGTTGGAAAAGGCGTGCTCTATTTCCGGGTGTTGTTTTGAATTTAGTTTTTGCTCCCCTTGGTTTATATTTTTAATCACCATTGTTTTCCAATAGCTCATCTCCTCCTCATAATTATCTCGCCAAAATATTTTAAAATTAAAACATTTCTATACAGTTCATGATGCACATACCTAAATGCTTAACATCGCTACCTTTGTTCACTAACACGTTATAATTATAATAGATTTTTTTATATACAGATTTCCAATACATCTTGATGTATATACCAAATTTAATTGGGCCCACATAAAAACCTCGCCTGAGAAAGAAGGTTGGAGCCTCCTGATAATATTTACAGTCTATGCTTCTATGCCCTTGATACATGTCTCTGACATCCGGAGAGCGCGCTGTCCAGAGCATGGATCTATCATAATAACGGGTCCAGAGCAGGTGGGGCAGTTTCTGTGCTTGAACAGTTGAAAGAAAAAAAAAACCGCTGTTAATGAAATCATGGTTTGGTGTTTTAAGTTGTTTTGAAATGCTTTCTTTTAAATCTATCAAATGTGCATGTAGCCTTTGGGTTTGGAACTAAAGCCATGCACTAGAAAATGTTGTGCCATAACAAAATCATCCAAAAGAGATTATGTCGAAGGACAGTAGTCCTACTGGTCATTTCTTACTTTTGTCCCCTTTTCTAGATCATATAAATGAAATACAGTATAAGGTGAAAGAGCCTATTAAACACCACATTTTATAGAACTGACTGAATGGCCATTGTTTATTTCAGTAATAAAAAACACATCAACAACATTTAAATAATAAAAAGGTAAACAAATTCAATATTTATACATGCTGATTGGCAATTGATATCATCAAGCATTGATTGAGTTTTCAGTGGGAGAAGTGGCGAAGATAGCGCGTTCTCAGCACCTCTTCACTGAACTGGTAGGTTAGCTTCTTCTTAACTTTTTTAATTTCTCCTGTTTTACCATAGTTCCTGAGTGCCCTTGCCATTTTTTGGTAGGTCATTTTCTTCCGATTTCCCTTCTGGATTCCCCATCGACCGGCCAGGACCTCTTTGTGTTTCGTGGAAAACTGGAAGATCCCCTTGTCCGGGTCCACCCACCAAATACTGTCAGTCATATCACCATTTTGGAGCAAGTCTAGAAGGAACTGGTACAAGCGAATCTTCTTCTTGTTGCCTACAAATGTTACATAGGTAGAGATGTTGGTAATCAGTACACAGCATGCATTATAGTAATTTAACCGCTGCTAACAGGCCCACTTACTTGCATCTCTCCTTATAGATGACAACCTGTGGGGTTCATAGTCATCTTCTCCTTCAGACACCTCCAGTGGTGGGCTAACATCCCTCTGTTCCTCCTCTGAGTAGTACTGGACAGGGGAGGGGGCTGGTGGGTACTGGTAGCACAAAGCTGGACCATAATATGGAATCTAGAGCCAATGAAAAATCAATATGTTTGTATTGTGGTAAGTAACAGGGTAAATGCTTTCTAACTAAGCTATCACTAATAGCTTCATATTTGGCTTATAATCGGAAACAAAAAACATCACATTCCTTTTAATTGTGTGGTATGCCTATGTGAGATGTGTTGAGTTTGTTTTTGTGGGGAAAGAAATAGTAAATTTCTAAACCTACTGGTGAGACTTTTGCTCGCCAAATCATTGGATGTGCATATAGAAAAAATAGATAAATAGAGCTGACCTCACTGCTCCAACATACAGGACAATTTTGTGCCTTTTCAAAGGACGATGTATATTATTGCATTTACTCAACAGTCCTGTTTTGACCAACTTTTTTTTATCATGTTTATCATCATGCATATCATCTTTGAGAGAACTGTTATTCTAGTTTTGTATTTTACAAAAGTGTAAAAGGGTTCTAGTTTTAAAAAAAACCAGCTACATTGAGTATTATACTGTTTGGCTGTTATCATCATTGTCCATCATTTAAAGACACGTTACTGTGAAATGAAAAGGGGAAGTTACTTTGCAAAATCAAAATGAAATTAACCCTGCGCAATCTGGCTATCAATGTTTTTTAGAAAACCTAGGTTGTCCAAACTGTCCACATACAATAGTAGTATTTTTTAAAAATCAGATATGAAGAATAAATTCAGCATATAATGTGTATTTATTGTCTATTATCTTAAATAATAGACTTTGATGTGTGCAATCTGAGTGCTCTTATTTCCTTTCTCTGCTGTAATGTGCAACGATGACACTGAAATTTCTCCACTGTGAGACTAATAAAGGTTTATCTTATCTTATCTTATCTTAAACAGACAAAAGGTGGAGCCCTCTAACCCAATGACATCTACACAAAATTGAATCTACTTTGAAGAGAAAGTGCCTCGAGTCATGTACTTTGGTGTCTACATTATTTATTGTTTATTTAAGGGTTTGGAGCTCATATGCATGATCTTGTTATCAATATATTAATTTTCATATCATAAACACACACATAGGTCTAGGACAAAAAAAATGGACAAATCATAAAACTAAAAAGGACATAAAGCTGACATACCTAACTTTCAAATCCATAACTAGTCCATGGCTCTCAAAACCGATGGGTTCTTGCTTATTTTCCTGTGCATATATTTTTGGCATTCGTCACGTCTCTCGTCCCAGAGTGTAAAATAGTAACTCACAAGGCTCTTTCTTACAAGCATGCCAAAGATAACATGATTTTTGGACATACAATACATAGCCATATAGTTATTGTTGTTGATCTGAAACCGTGTAACTTCCTTCAGAATAAATTAAATCGGATCAAAATGTTTATCAATTAAATGTATTCTTGTATAGCCCTAAATCACTACAGTAAATATCTTGCAGGACTTTACAAAACCGATAAATTCGCCCACACAGATCAGAGAATCACAAAATTCGAACACAAATAATTGCAATGATAGAAACCAGATTGGTATTGGTTCATATAAGGGGCAGATGACCAATGTCCATAAATGTTGATAAATATCTATACATGTTGCATGTTGAGTGTCCTGGATCATCTCCACTGTATTATATCGCTTATGTTACTGTCTGACATTTCATTTGTTTTTTTGTTTTTTATGCCCCGTGCTGTTCAAACGAAATGCCCTTGGTAAGATAAATAAAGTATAGTAGTCTGAATCTGAATCCTGAGACCTTTATCTTAGACCCTCCTGCATCGTCAAAGAAAAACTCCCCAGTGGGATAAAGTGCGGCCCACAAAGTTAGTTCCGTTGGGGGACCCTTGGTGGCTCTTACCTGTGGGGACACTGACAGAGGGATCAGTGGTGGGTCTAAATGAAGAGGCAACCCATCAGTGCTGAAGCGGAAAGGCTGAGTGAGCTGTTGAGGTGACACTGACTGGAGCTCGGTCAGATGGTTCACTGGAGAATTCTCGAAGTCTGCCGGCTGCATGCGCTCAGAGTGTAAAGACCACCTGTGCTCTGAGGAAATATATCTCACTTAAGATACAGAAAAAATGAGAACATGAGTGTTACAGAGTTTAGCTTGGACTTGATTGTGTTGTCTCACCATCGTAGATATCCCCCACGCTCAGGTAAGAGTAGAGATCAGCTGGTGGACGGTATTGACCCGGTTCGTTTGGAGCAATGTCCTCTGAACCCTTTTGAGAATAAAAAATGTAAACAGCCTTTTTTTTTTTCTTTTGCTGTAGTGTTTTTTAGACGTTAGACTATAGCACAATATATTCAAAGTAGTCAAATCAACCACACAATATTCAATTCAATTCAATGTGTTCTTGTATAGCCCTAAATCACAACAGTAGTTATACTTAACAAAACACAAGAAATATAGAACACAAATGTGTTAGTCTATAGGGGGAGTTGACCAATGTCCGTAGAATGTTAGACCAACTAGATACATAACAATACAGTTTTATATTTGGTTCGAGCTGTCCATACTTACAGAAATGCTATATCCATCCATTATGAAGGTCTTGTACAACTGATGATGGATTTGCGCTATTCCTATTGCAGTACACTGTGACACTGACTTCATTAGTCAAGTAGGAACTGAAACTGCGCTGTGTGCTGGACTTATTGGCCACAATTATATCACGCAATAATAAAATGTATCATTTCAGCCATTACAGAGAACAACACACTCATTGGTTTTTATGTCAGCATTTTTTTTCTTTTAGATAGATACGTAGACTGAAATGTTAATGTTTATTTAATAGGATAGGATAGGACAAATATCGATTTGTTTTATAGGCTTAATTCTAATTTGTTTCACCCAGATGGAAGCAATATGGTAGAAAATCCCAGTTTATTATCCCCTGTGTAGTAAAAAGTCATATGTTTCTGTACTTATAACAGCTTTATGTTATGTTGTCACTTTATTCTATGCTTTTGTGAGGCGACTGTGACACAAAATTGGAGATGAAACTAAAACTGCAGTTTGCTTCTGGCCTGTTCCTCTTTTAACTGGGTATTAGGCCTCCATTTGAGGAAGTAGCGCCATGAGATCCACCCACAGGAGCCACTGTGTCCCAAGGTTCAATTCAGACGCACAGATATGTTATCCCAACAACAAGAACAAACGTTATCACAATTTCTATGCATTGTGTTGGACTTTTTGGACTTTTAATTATGGCCCAATGCAAGAAAAATGTTTCACACTGTGTCTTAGATCATGCCTCTCCAAAATGTGCCATACAATTTTGTTGCATACCGTTCTTATCTTTTGAATTGTTGATGAGGAGCTTCCTGTTTACATCTTTGTCCATCTGTCTGGGTCTGTACGCATGCGAAATACAGTATGTCCTGGGCTATAGCTTTTTGTCTCCATCTGCTGGATGAAGCTGTCGAAGTGACCAGTGACCAGGCTAGAGGCAGTTCACAGCCGTAGAGGGGGGGAGACAACCAAAATGCCACCGCGATGCCCATGCGTCTATCTGTCTTTTCTCTTTATAACAACACCTCTTTATCTATAGTGCTTTGATTGAGAGCAGAATCGTCGCAAAGGCTCTCAAAGATGTCTCTGCGTTTTACATTTGCGCGTATTGCTCAATTTCCTTCGCACCTTCTCATTCACTGACAGCTTGAGCCAACGAGCCATCCATCCCCAGCGCCAGGACCTGAGCGCAGCATTGTGCAGCCATCGGGAACTGCGTGGTGTCTTATATGCGTGGACTATGGCTGCGATGAGGACTTTAACCGTGGCGGGATTGTGTTTGGCTTTCTGCGCCTTGGGGCTCATAGCCGTGGCTCTCAGCACCGACAATTGGTACGAGACGGACGCCAGGAGACACCGGGAACGATGCAAGACATACTCCAATAAAAGAAACGATCCTGGGTTCATCTACATCTCCAACCTGCCTTTACGGATGCTTCCAAAGGAGAAACACGTAGAGAGGAAAGGCTCCGGCGTGAGCGGCGAGATGCTGCTTCGGGCCAAGCGGCATCTCGCCCCCCTCGCCTCGGCCATGGAATCGCTCTGCAGTCGGCAATATAACTCCACCAGCACCGGGCTGTGGAGGAAGTGTCACAGAGAAGGCTTTGACTTGGAAACAGAGGATTTGATCTTTAAAGGTTTGTGCTTTGTGGAGCCATATACGCGCGTCTTGTGTGCGTGTGTGCGTGTTTTGTATTGGCAGGCTTATTGTGTCATGAATGCGCTATCCAAGGTGACGCGCACAGCCCTCTCAGGCCTACGCAGTGCTGCTTGAACACCGAGTACAGTAATAACCCAGTGCTGTTGGTTTTTTCTTGCCAGTATAGAAGCATTCTGTAATATAAGGCAATTACAGGGGTTGAGCTGCTGCACTTGTACCTTGTGCGGTGTGGGTGGACGGGTGGGTGATGGAGCATAAAGGGATGCTTTTTGGGGAGGCAGAGAGAGGGTGTGGGGGCGGCAGCAGAGCGCTTTGTATGTATCCTGTCTCCGCGTCTATTTGACTTATGTTGTTTACACGCGCAGGATTGGTCCCACGCTGCACGCCAATAAAATACTACTACTCATCTTCCGCGCTGCCCAGGAATCTGCCTGTCAATCTGACCAAGACTATCCGCCAGGATGAGTGGCATGCTCTCCGTGAGTATTTTTCAACCCCTTCTGTTTTTTTTACTGAGGCTGTCGTTTAACCTGTGCTCAGTGCGCCTGACGCTGTCTCTGTCCGTGTCCCCAGATCTCCAAAGGATGACTGCCAGTTTCATCGGTATGGCCATCTCTATCATCACGTTTGGCTGGATCATAGGACTGATGGGCTGCTGTAAGGAGCATGATCTGATGCAGTATGTTGCCGGACTGCTCTTCCTCATGGGAGGTAAGGGGACGCACTTTATATAAAGACAGCACTACTCAGTCTCACCACCAGGCGGCAGTGTGCACGCAATCTCCAATTCAGCTCTGCACCATGAAATTATACTATGTTACTCTTATGGTGGTGGTGTAGTGTGTCTATAGGTGGTGAAATGTACTTATACATTTGCGTGCTTTGTTCATCATATCTCCGCATCCAGAAATAAACGTGTAAACAGCAGGTAGTACTGCATTTATAGACAGCTGTGCTTGTTGATGGACTACAACTGATATTTGCAGTTGTTGTGTCGTTGGGCAAGACACTTAACCCCACTTTGCCTGAAGCTACTGCTGAAAGATCAAGGCTATGCTATAGAGCAGCCCTCCTCCTGTAGACTCACCACCTGCAGGGGGATCAATAAGGGGCTGGTGCTATGTGTACTGGGTAGCTATTACTGCCACCCCCCTGACCCAGAAATAGATTAATGGGTAAAAATTTTATGGATGAATGGGTATATATTACTATTTTACATCCGTTAAATGAGATTGTATTGTTTGTCAACATTAGTCCCAGTTCTGAAATCATATCTGAAATCATACCCCATGTGCTTGTGTTTTTGTTTGTGTCTCATTGTTGAATTCATGGGCACATCTTATGTAGGTGGCACAGTAGCTGAGGGGTTAGCTCCCATGTATCACAGTAGGAAGGTTTTGGGTTCTATCCCATGCAGCTCTGGGCTTTTCTGTGTGGTATTTGGGTGGCTTCCTCTGGGTGCTCCGGATTCAGCCACCAACGAATACATGCACAATAAGTAAAGTCCTCCAGCTCTGGTTGTCCTGACCAAGACGAGCATTTAGAACTGGAGATGTGTTCCCAACGACATGAATCGCCTCTTTATGATGTGATACAGTATAATATAAATGATACAAGACAATCAAGTGTACATCACACCTCATTTTTTCAGTTAAATGTGGAAGGAAAAGGTTCTTGTATATGATTGAGATCTGGTGATGTCACATACCAACCCCTCTGCTCCAAAGCAGGTTTGAATTCTTGTACTTAACTCGCTTTCCTCTTTTCTGTCAGGGACTTGCTGCATCATCTCTCTCTGCACCTGCGTGGCTGGAATCAACTTTGAATTGTCGCGCTATCCACGCTACATGTTTGGGATCCCAGAGGACATCAGTCATGGTTATGGCTGGTCCATGTTTTGTGCCTGGGGAGGGCTGGGCCTGACGCTCCTGGCTGGATTCCTCTGTACTCTGGCCCCCTCCTTGTACCCGCCACAGACCGCCGTCGCACACAAGCCGCGTCAGGAGAATGGCTGCGTGTGACAGTGCTCATGATCATGCAGACAGTGTTGAGCCCTGGACCTTTACACTGGACTCCCCTTTGAGGCCGCCTCACGAGGACTCAAGGAGGACTCAAGGAGGACTATCTGAGGAGAAAGGCACTCGCTGTGGTGCTTTGTTTGCTCTGCTATTCTGAAAAACTGTTCTGTGTTATTGCCTGCTCTTCAAGAGGAGAATATGAATACAAACTCTGGTGAATTGGCCAGTTTGAAAAAAGAAAACGTGTAACTGGCGGGAAACTGATAGCACAACTTTGAAATCTGTATTGAATATTATGATGTGTCTGTCACATTTCAAAAGGGCAACTGTGTATCATGTTGTACTCATCAAAAATATGTACATGTATTTTCAACTGTATGTATGCAGATGCATTTGTGTTTATTCAATGAAAACATGACATCAAGACCAAACTGTGTTTGAGAAAATGTTTTGTTGTTCTCAAGGTCTTAACAATGGAAATATTTTTAAAGAATAAAAGAAGCCTTGCAAAAATGCTTTCTCCTTCCAACAACACAACAGAAGGATTTTATATATTTTCTAATTTCTGAGAATGTGTTATTCCTTATAAAAGCTGAGTATATGTCACTGCTCCAATGTTTTAACAACTGACCACAACAGCCAGTGACAAAACAAAGCAAATCTCAGCATTTATAAACTCTGATCACACACTGACCATTACTCACACAGAACTCACATAAAAAAAAACATCAGGTGTTTTTGTGTTTCTGACTTGGACTCACTGACTACCCAGTGTTATGTGTGTGCTTTTAATTGTGCTGTATGCATATGTGTTTGGGAATGGTTCATGTTTGAGTAAATCCTGTCACGGTGCTGACGGCAATCACCTGCTGTGCTCCTACACAGTGTGGGCGTCTAGCTCCGTCATGTTAAGGCACTTCTAATTACTCCATATGGTCTGTGTTAAACCTGCCCCTTCATCAGGTCACTCCATGTTTTGCTTAAATTCTGTGGCCTGAGTAAAAGGCTTCAGTGGTTTAAAGAAAACAGCAGAACTCACCGGAAAAACTCATAATCAAATAATGTCCAGACTGGAGTAAAGATCTCCAAAACCCAAATAATTCCCGATGTATCAAAACAACATTTAATAGCACTAATTCAAAGGCAACAATATAGTGAAAACTAGAAGCATCTTTAATATTTCCAAAGAACTCAAGGGCTCACGGGAGGCATCAGATATTGGGGTTTGGTTTTTGGCACAAAGACGAATCAGTGAGCTCAGATCAACACTACTCTACATTCCTGACCCTTTTCTGTTTGTCCTTTAAATAAGAGAGGGAGAGGAGCAGACATTCTTCTGACAGCCTACCCCAGGCTATAAAGCAGAAGGGACATTACCCAAATACACTCCTTTCTTTTGAGTTACAACGGAGAAGGTGGAGGGTTAGGTTGTGAAAAAGTTACCAAGTGTTGCATGAATGTACTGCATTTAAAGAGAAAGAATAAAATAGGTTTAATACTAATCTTTGTGTAAAACGAAGCCAAACACACAATAACAATCAACGAACATGACAATTTGACACAAGAACATATTTGGAAAAAAGTTTGATTTCTTTATTCCAAAGCCATCTTTGATAAAAATTGCAAACACTTTTGTCTGAAAATAAAAAACAAAGAGAAAGATACACACCCATTTACAATGGGCCCATTTGTAATTAAATAATGCTTTAAATAGCCTTTTTGTTTGCCCATATTCGTTGGCTGTGGTTTGGACGCCTGTTTTTAAACTTGGGGGTCCCTCTGGGGAGAATGGAGTGTGAGGAAAACCAGACAGGAGGAAATCACACCCAGTTCTACCCATCTGGCTGCTTCACATGGAGCACATAATCTCTGTTAGAAGTGGGCACCGCTCTGAGCTCCCGCCGCAGACAAGAGTGTTTTCAACACTGCTTATGTGGAAAGACATGCCACTAACTGCCTTTAAAATATTACATTCAAGTGAAAACAGGCTGACTGAAGATCTGGAGGCCCCTCAGCACTCCTTTTCAGGAATTCAAAACAAGTTGGCTCCAAGTGTCCCAAGTGAGAAATCACTGACACACAAATGTACTTTAGGGGTAAGCAGTAACGTTACGTAAAAGAAAATATTACCTCTACACAGGTAGAAAAAGTATTAAAAAATATGTATGCAAGGTTTCATTCTTTTCTTTTTTGGAATTTGAGAATTGAAAATTTAAAATTGAGACTGCCTCTTGACACCAATTAGTGAAGAGGGTCACACAGCAGCTGCAGGCCCCATGACTGCATAAAACGTGGTGACAACTTAAAAGGAGATAGAGTGAAAGACAAAGAAAAAAAAGTGATGCTTATGAGCCGGTGGTGTTTTCACATAAAGATGAAAAGAAAAGAATGCAGCTTGTATCAAAGCTTCTTTTAATTCATTCAGATCGGCCGGGATCCAGTCCCGTGGCCCGGCCTGAGAACAGCTGTGTCAGAGGTCAGGAGGAGCCTGCTCTCAGGTACTCGGTCTTGAGGCGGCTCAGCCTGGTGCCGTGACTGCGGATGATGAGCGACAGCAGCTCGTGTTTGTCCCGGAGCCCCTGGGAGATGTCGGAGGCCTCCCTCAGAGTGCCCTTGATGTCCCCCACTTGTTTGAGCACATGGCCGCTGAGCTGCTGCTCCTCACGCAGCTCTGTGTCCTGGCTCTGTTTGAACTTCACCTCCAGCTCCACCAGAGACTTGTCCACGCCACTGAACGCGTCGCTGATTTGGGAGATCTCCTTCCTCAGAAACTTGCCGTAGCTGTCTTCCCCGTCCAGGTCGTGCGTCACGGTGCGCTCGATGCTCTCCAGGAGGCGTGCGGCGTCCTCGGCCTGGAGCTTGGTGATGATGAAGTCGTCGCGCACAACAGCGTCCTCGTTCTGCGCCGTGGCGCACGGAGACACGTCTGAAAACTTGAAGAGCATCTGGCAGTGCTCTGGGTCCTCGGTCTCCTCGTAGTCTCCATCAGGGACAAAGAAGTGGTGGAAGGTCCCGTTACTGATCTCAGGCTGCAGGGGCCCCGTATAAAGCGTCCAGTAGCACGGGGGGCCACAGGCCAGGAGCACGAGCAGCAAAGAGACCGGCTCCATGGCGCTGCTGTGTCTGCCTCTGCGCTGCGTTTGTGCTGAGGATATGAGCTCCACGCTCTTGTTACACGCTCCCCACAGACTCAGGGTCAACAAGGGCCCCTCGTGGCCCCTCCCAAATCACAGCAAGGCGAAGGGGAAACAGCTGATGGTCATTGTGATGTGGTGGCAATGTAGGAGTATGTCTCTTAATCTTTAAGTTTTATCTGATTTGTCACAAACTGCTAAATAAATAGTCTCCGGAGTCCTGACCGAGCCAGCGTCACTAATTACGCACCTATTTGTGGAATGATGCCGATGGCTCTATAATAAATTCATATTCCCATGAATTAATATTAATATGTCATTGAATGTCTCGTCTCCTCCTTGTTGCCATGGCAATTCAGTTCTTTAGCCAATGTCATTCAATGTGTATTACAGTAAATTATTGCAATGGAGAATCTTTCATATGGTTACACAGAAGGTTTTGGGCTCGATTCCACGTCGGCCTGGGCCTACATGTGGAGTTTGCTTATTTCTCCCTGAGTTCCAGGGTGAGTTTCCTCCAGGTGCTCCGGTTTCCCCCACCATACAAAACATGCACCATAGGTCAAATCCACCGACTCCTTTCCAGACCAAGCGGGGCATCAACATCTGGAGGTCATGGCGTTGCAGCATCATGCAAATCAGTCAAGTACAAACAATACCCTACAGGGAGAATAAGGTAGACTCTTACCGACCTTACCTTGCACATACATGATGAATAATGGAGTTTTACAGTCCTATAAAATGCACCTATAGGCAGGCATGTTTAATTATATCGCAGAGTTCATACACAAGGCAACACAAAGTGCTAAACAAAACAAGATAGCAATTTGATTGGATAGACTTCAAATATGAGTACAATACTCTAATCTCCATTCACTTTACTTTACAATCACAAAGAGTAGTTTATTTTGCATTTGGCTCTGCATGGGCGTGCATTTTCATCCAAACCCTTGAAAAAGTGAAAGATATTTTTGCAGGTCACTTTGAGGTCACTCACTTAAAACAAATGTGGATCAGCACAGGGAGACCGCACTGGCTCTGGGTTCAGTCCTGGTTTAGGGAGCTGTTTTCACCCTTGCTCATTTGAAACGGTCTGTTTGAAAAGCACTGCTGAATTGAACGCTGCGCTGACAGAAGTATACAAGCACAGAAATCCTGCTGGTCTATCCATCCCCACAGCTGAATAAATACTGCTGTAAGTGGAGCCAGGGCAGTGCAGGGCAAAGGACGTGCATTTATTCTGTAGGGCTTATATTCTTGTTTGTATGTTGGGTTTTCTTGCAGAGGCAGCGGAGGAGGATGACTCACAATGAGCCAGAATAACCCAACATGCAATTATTAAACTCTGTGTCATATTGATGCGACCTTTTAGACAGTAGATAGTGTAAAGGAAAATAGCTTATGGTTAAAAGTTGCATATACAGTAAGCTTACGCATAAATGAATGAGTTTATCCCTGCAGTGATGGTGGCCACTGTTGGTTGTCATGACCACCAGCTTCAACGATATAGAAATCTATTTCTCATAAATATATTAAATTTTTATTCAGAAACACAGCTTGACGGTTCAAAAATACATTATTGTTTTAATGTTGTTTTCTGACTATGTTTTTGCACCGACAAAACATGGAAAACATCCATCCATCCATCCATTTTCTACCCTTTAATCCATTTCTGGGTCAGGGGGGTGGCAGTCAGAGATGCCACCCAAGTCTCATAGCACCAGCCCCTCACTGACCCTCTGCAGGTGGTGAGTCCACAGGAGGACGGCTGCTCTCTGAGTGTGAGCATAGCCTCGATCTTTCAGTGGGGGCTTTGGGCAAAGTGGGGTTAAGTGTCTTGCCCAAGGACACAACGACAGCAGTCATCATTTGTACAAAATTCATATTTCTACAATAAATTTTCATCCCCTTTGAATGAAAAAAAAAAAAAAACATGTAAAAAGGACAGTACTTTGTATTAAGTTTTACAGTTTAAAAAACTTGTGGATATTAGGTTTTTCCCAACTCATAATTGGTGTTTTTTTTTTTTAGCTGTATGAAAAATTTTGATGATTATTTGTGATGTTTTTAAAAAACAAATTGATTAAATAAGAATAATGGAAAGTCTCCTGTGGTTCAAATACAGGTGAATCTTGGGAAAATTTGAAATTCTTTTTATCACATATATACATTTTGTAAATCAACTTACAATGTGAAACTAATATACGACACATCCCACGCCACGTGAGATAAATCACACCGATTTCTCTAATGTTGATTGCGCCCTAGCTTGTAAAACCCCAAATAAAACAGCTCACAAAGGTTTTTTTTTAAAATGGACTGTAAAGCATAATCATCGACATTACATTGTTAAATTACAAATAAATGCAGTTTTCGATTTGTTTCGTTTTCAAGTTTTACCTGTATTTGTAGCACAGTGGGGACATTTGAACCATTATTGCATTGTTACTAGCCATGATGTGCACTCTTTTCTGGTTCATTTCATAGTTAAATTCTTATAATTCTTTACATTTTTTAGTGATGTTGGGAGTTCAGTAAACCAGACCACTGAATAGTTCTAGCCTCCAGACACAGTGTGAGATAAGGGGAGAGTGTGTGTGAACGGAGACATTTAATCAAAAAGTCCTCATAATGCAGCAGCACTCATCCCAGGCATGCCCAAACTACGGCCCGTGGGCCAAATGCGGCCCTTTGTGTCAATGTATATGGCCCTCTATGAGATCATAAACACAAGTTCACAGTGTCATCCAGCCAGCTTCAGCTCTACCAATATAGACATGTTTTACCTCATTCAGAATGCAGTTGTTTAGACATAGACAAGTATAGACAGACACATATTCAGACTTTACAATAGTTACAAAAAGAGATTTCTCACTTCTATACGGAACGTTTTACTTCACAGAACACAAAGGAGACTTGGAACCAGAAGACTGTGACCAAAAGGACAAGTCTAGTGAACTAAAGTGGTCCTCTTTCTAAAAAGTTTGAAAACCTTATCCCATGTACATATGCTGTAATCACCAGCAGCTTAAAGTAGAAATATTGTTCATGATTTTTTTCCATTCACATTATAAAGACATTATTCACTTTGTCAGTTCATGTTTTTTCATGTGAAATAATATCTTAAGTGGAAAATATATGGTGAAGCAAGTATGACGGGTAAAAAAATACTTCCTCTTGGGTCTTTGCCACCGCCAGAGGGAGAGTAGATTTTTCAAATTTTAAAATTACAAGCTGCAAAAATTTAGTTGTGATTGTAAAGAATGTTATTTCAGCTGATAAATTACCACAGCTAACCAAACCAAAGTAGCCTGGTCTGGAGGTGCTCCATTGAGCTCCGTTCACAGGTGGGAGAGGTTAACTCCTTTTGCAGATTTAAAACGATTGGATCTGAGTTTACTGTGATGTGTGCAGTGCGCACGAATTAGTCGTTAGCATTTAGCATTTAGCCTAGCCATCTCCTTTTCCGCTAACGGAGCCCGTGGGGAGTAGCGCCACAAACTTTGCCAGCAATTATATTCACATTCCTCTTGCTCCGGCTTCAATTTCTTGATAGAACCAGACCGGAATACTTTATTTATTTATTGTTTATTTGGTTGGGACAGTACATGTTAATGAACACATCACTCCTGATTGTACCATGGGCTAATTTCCATCCGTTGTCCCACATTCGCACTCACAAACACACACTCATTCACCCTGAATTATTGCACATGTTTTTGGTGGTAGGGGAAACCGGAGTACCCGGAGGACACCGGAGTACCCGGAGGAAACCTACACAGACACGGGGAGAACATGCAAACTCCACTCAGAAAGGCCCTGTTCGGCGCAAATTCTTTACGCCACCCACATCTAACCACAACACCCGGATGGAATTCAACTGATGTAATCCCAAACAGGGACCAGACCCAGACGTCACCTGCAGGGAAATGATGATTGACAAAGAGAGAGCGTCATCTGTCACCTCCAGTCTCTCTCCCTAAAACCTTCAAACAAGTTCAGAAATCTAGGGGTAATACTGAACTCAGACTTAAATTTTAATAGCCACATCAAATCAGTAACATCAGCAGCTTTTTACCATCTAAAAAACATTGCCAGGATCAAAAACATAGTGTCTAAAGCAGACTTGGAGATTCTTATCCATGCATTTGTCTCCAGTAGGTTAGACTACTGCAATGGCCTGCTCACAGGTCTGTCCAAACAGGCTGTAAAACAGCTGCAGTACATTCAAAATGCAGCAGCTCGAGTCCTGACTAGAACCAGGAAGTACGACCACATTAGTCCAGTTCTCAGGTCTCTGCACTGGCTTCCTGTGGCTCAGAGAATAGACTTTAAAACAGCTCTGCTTGTGTACAAGTCTCTCCATGGCCTCGCACCAAAATATATTAGTGACATGTTAGTCCCATATGAACCAGCCCGGACTCTGAGGAGCACAGGGACTGGACTCCTGTTAGTGCCCAGAGTCAGAACTAAACATGGGGAGGCTGCTTTTCAGATTCATGCTGCTAAAATCTGGAACAATCTTCCTGAAGATGTGAGACAGGCCTCCTCTCTGACAATGTTTAAAACCAGGTTAAAGACGGTTCTGTTTAGCTGTGCATACAACTGATGGATTTTATATTTTAATCTTTCTTTTTAATGTTCTGTGATAATTTATGATTTTAATGGTTTCTTGTTTTGTTCAGCACTTTGCATTGCCTTGTGTATGAATTGTGCTATACAAATAAACTTGCCTTGCCTTGCCATTGACCAGAGTGTACATATGGATAAGGCCAGGCTAAAACCAAAGCAGTAGGAGTGGTACTTTTGTTTTAAAACAAAAGAAACTTCTCTGATTGTGATGTCAAAGTGAAACAATGACGTCATGACAGGCAGGGGTGGAGTTAAATGTTTGTGCCAAAAATTACTGATATTAGCGTGGATTGATAAAAAAAAAAAAAACAACAATTGAGATACATTTTGCCAAATTTTTTGCA